ACCCACCAGCACCTGCCGCTGCCCATCCCTGTGTCGTCCCCCCCCCCAATTCCGTCACCCCCTTGTCCCTGCAGAGACCCGCGGCCTGAAGGACCCCGAGCAGGTGGAGAACCTGCAGGACCAGTCGCAGGTGATGCTGGGGCAGCACAACCGTTCTCACTACCCTGGGCAACCCGTCAGGTACTGCTGTCCCCACAGCCCCATGGGTGACACCGGGGGGGGGGCCACAGCCACCCATGGCCACCGTTCTGTCCCCCAGGTTTGGGAAGCTGCTGCTGCTCCTCCCGGCGCTGCGCTTCATCTCCTCTGAGCGCGTGGAGCTGCTCTTCTTCCGCCGGACCATTGGCAACACCCCCATGGAGAAGCTGCTATGTGACATGTTCAAGAACTGACTCCCCCCCCTCACCCCCATGTCACCTTGTTTGTCACCTTGCACCGGCACCCTGTCACCCCCCACCCCGGGTCTCCTCACCCCAGGATGCTGTGGGGTGTGATGATGCCCATGGTCCCATCTCCACGGTGGTGGCCAGGACTATGGGATGCTGCCAGCAGCTGGGACATGGGGCCAGCTTCACCGGGGACAGCCGGTGGCAGGGGGACGTCCCCAAGTGAGTGCCAGATGCACCAGGAGCACCTCATTGGGGCGGGTGCCTCGATGGGTGCCACCGTCCCAAACGCTGGAGGAACCCACGCACCCAGGCGAGGTGCCCCTGCTGTGGCGCTGGCACCCATGGGGACCCGCTGCCACCCAGAGGTGACACTCACTCAGGGGTGACGCCAGCCTGGGGTATGTGACACGAGACCAAGGGTGACACCGGCCATGGGGGTGACGGCCATCCTGGTGTTGATACCAGCCTAGGGGAGACGTTGGCTGGGGTGACGCCTGTCCAGGGTGACCCCAGCCCAGGGGTGACACTGACCAGGGGTGATACCAGTCCAGGGGTGACAGTGGCCAGGGGTGACAGTGACCAGGGGTGACCCCAGTCCAGGGGTGACACTGACCAGGGGTGACCCCAGTCCAGGGGTGACCCCAGCCCAGGGGTGACACCAGTCCAGGGTGACGCTTGGCCAGGGGTGATACCAGTCCAGGGGTGACAGTGGCCAGGGGTGACAGTGACCAGGGGTGACCCCAGTCCAGGGGTGACACTGACCAGGGGTGACCCCAGTCCAGGGGTGACCCCAGCCCAGGGGTAACACTGGCTAGAGAGGGTGATGCCATCCGGGGCCCCACCAGCTGCAATCACTGCCCCTCACTCACCGGGCATGGGGTCCCCTCCCCACCCCGCAACTTCAGCTCTGTGATCCCAGGGGACACGCGGTGACAGACCCTCGTCCCTGTGTCCCAGGGGGATCCTGCTCTCTTCCCACCCCCCAGTTTTATACTCCAAATAAAGAGGGCTTTTGCAACCAGCCTCCTCGCGCCGCTGACTCGGGGTGCCCGTCCTCGGATGGGGGTGGCGGCGGGGGGGGGGGGCCGGGCTGAATATTAATAATCTGAATATAAATAAAAAAAGGTAAAAGTAAATAATCTGAAGAAAAATAAATTGAAAATAAATTATCAGAATATAAATAAGCTAAATATAAGTAAGATGAATATAAATAATCGGAATTAAATAATTGGAATGTAAATAAGATTAATAGAAATAATGTGAATATAAAGAAAATGAAAATAAATAATCTGAATATAAATTGAAAATAAATTATCTGAATAGAAATAACCTGAATTAAATAATCTGTACAGAAATAGAATGACAATAAATAACCTGAAGAGAAATAAATGTAAAATAAATTATCTGAATAGAAGTAAGATAAATATAATCCGATTATGATTAATAATAATCTGAATTAAATAATCTGACTAATCTGAATATAAATAACATGAAAAGAAATAATCCGAAATAATCCGGAGGGAGCCGGAAGCACAGAGTCCAACCCCAGGGGCGGCAGGGGTAGGGGAGCCACCATGACAACCCCCCCCCAGCATCAAACACAGCACCCAGCACCAGGCGCTCCTCGTTACAGCTCTTTAATTAGCGCGGGATCAGGGGGTTGCCAAGCCGCTTTGTACAGCCACGGGGAGGGTTTGAGGAAAAAAATCCACAAATTGATACACACCATGGTCTGATGGCAGAAGGAAAAAAAAAACCAAACCCCAAAAGCCCCCAAAAGCCAACAGTAATTTGGGGGTCAACAAGCTGCAGCGTCCCCTGGCTGCGGGGCACCAGAAATTCTTCGCCTTTATAGAATTACATTTTTATTTCTCTTTTTTTTTTTTTCCTTTTTTAAACAATTTCTAGCGCAGATGACACAGGATAATATATCCTCTTACAATACAGACTTTGTTTTTAATTTACACTCAGCAGACTTATAAATTACTTAAAAAAATTTCCATTAAAAATAATAATAATTAACAGCACGCAGCCCCTCTCCTTTCCAGTAGTAAGTACATTCACGCCGCTCCAGAAAACCCCATTTTTTTGGCCCCCAATCCGGCCCTTTGCCGGAGGGAGGGCTGGGAAGGAGCTGTGGGAGGTGTCGGGGGGACGCGCCAGCCGGGGACCCTGGAACAGCCCATTTCCAGCCCCCTCCCCGATCCCCAACCCTTGGGGGTCCATCCGGCGCTGACTGCTAGTGTAGCTCCTGCTGGGATTTTATATATATATATGTATATATCTCTTTTATAATTTTTTTCTTTATATATATATATACATACACACAAATATATATATAAAGAAATATATTTTCTCTATGTATTCCACATATATTCTATACATTTATATATATAAAGAACTAGAGATAAAATATATATTCTTTATATATGCTATATATATTTCTTTGATACATTTCTTTATATAGAGAAACATACTCTCTATAGAAAGAAATATAAAAATATATATAAAGAAACATATATATATTTCTTTATAGGTATAGAAGAAATACATAAAAATATAAAGAAATATATATTATTTATATATAGTATATTTCTTTTATATATAGTTATATATAAATATATAAAAATATATAAAGAAATATATATCATTTATATATAGTATATATATCCCATATATATTTCTTTATATATATAAATATGTATTATATATAAAAGAAATATAAAATAAAGAAACATTTATTCTTTACATATATTCTTTTATATATATATTTCTTTATATATAGAATATATATTCTTTTAAATACATTTCCTTTATATATATAAAATGTATATATATATAAGGGAAATATATACATATATCAGAAGAAATATACACATATATATATTTGGAGGCGCTGCCTAAGCCAGATCCGCCATCCCTGCTGCTCTTGTGCCACCAGGGTGAGAAAACCAAGGATGAGGATGGAGCACCTTCCACCCACCCTCGGGGACCTCCTCGCCCGGAGCCTGCCAACTTTGAGGGGAATTCCTGGGATTTTAGCTAAAGAGGCTCTGAAATGGCTGATTTTGGCGCAGAGCACTGGGGATGTTCCTGCTATTTCCAGCTCCGGGAAAGGGGGAAGTTGGGGTGGCTCCCCAGGAGCTTTCGCTTTCGTGGCCACCACCTGCCTTCCCAGCGCATCCCAGGTTGGTCCCCAAATCCTTATTTTCCTGTCTGGGAATGGTAAAATCCCATTTTCCCCGGTGGATGGGGGATGATTGACTTGGTCTCACTCTGCTCCTGGGATGCAGCGCCAAGGCGGATGCTGTTCCCGTGCCCCCGCTCTCCTTGCGGCATCTATCGTTTTCCCCCGTTAAAAAAAAAAAAAAAAAAAAAAAAAAAAGAAAACCCAATAAATAAACCATTTCTTGAAAGAAATGGCCCTTTGGGCAGGGGGAGAGGGGACCGAAGGGCGGCTCGGCTAAACCCAGGGATGTGGGGATGCTCGGCAAAACACAAAATACTCAGAAAAACTCAAATTTTCAGTATTTTTTCTCCCTTTTTGGTGGCGTTTCGGGAAAGGACAAGCCTCAACCTGCGACACCCAGCCCATCTGAAAGGACGGATCCAGCCTTTATTAATCTAATTAGTACTCCGGGCCTCTTAATTTTGCCTTTCCAGAGGTTTTCCAGTACCCGGAGCTTCTCTGGGCGCCACCGAGGGTGAGAATGATGATGATACGGGAGGGATTAAAAGCTGAGTCATTTAGCTAGCGTTGCTAATTAGTCCTATCGTGGGCACCGCTTTTAAATCGTGCTAATTACACCTCCAGGGATTTCTTGTTCAAAATAAAACTCAATGTATAAAGCAAGGTGGTAGCGGCAAGTGATGGACGGTGACACTGGCAGTGACACCGGCAGGACAGCTCAGCCCATCGCTTCCCTCCTCCCCGGCCAAAAAATAATAATAATTAAAAAAAAAAAAAGTTCTGTCTGGGGAAAAATATTTAAAAAAAATAATAAAAATATATATATTTACAACAGACTCCAGTAACTGGCATATAAACAAATATAGCTTCAAGTAGTCCTTGATTATTATTATTATTATTTTTTAATACTGATGGTCTCCAAAAAAAAAGAAGAAAGGTGGTTAGGTCACATTAAAAAAATAAAAAAAAAAAAAGGTGATTTTTGGCAGATTTTAACGCTTTTCCATGCGCTTGGCGTTGGCGTGGATGAGGTGGTTAAAGCGCAGAGGGCTTGGCTGGCTGGAGTGGAGCCGGCGCCGGCTTGGGATGCTCCTGCGGGATTTTTAGGCTTGGCTTTCTCCCACTGAAGGGTGATGGCGATTCGGCATGAGGATTTGGCAGGGCGATGCTTTGAGACGTGGGATGCTCTGAGGGGAAAGGCGCAGGGGTTGGCCAGTGCCCCTCCATCCCCGGTCTAACTGCCCTCCTCTGAAGGTCTTGACCCCTCCCAAACCATTAAGGCCACCGTTAAAACCATCCCCCACCGGCCTTTTTAATTAAGAATTCATCCTGGTGTTAACGAGGCAGCTGTCGGGAGCACTGCCGGTGCTGCCGACGGGGAGGATGCTCTGGTGCGCGACGCGTCCCCAGAGTGGAGCATCTCAGACCATGAACTCGTTGCTCCCCAGGAGGACGAGGGGTTGGGCAGTGGCACAGTCGGCCTCGGGGTTTCTCTTGCGTCCCCCCCCCGTCCCCCCATCCGGGGGCTCTTTGGTTTTCGGGGGGGAAGTTTTGACACTCTTCAGTTTCTGTTTGCCTTTCTCCGGGTTGAACGTCCCGCGGGTGGTGAACTGAGGCCGGTCCTCGGGATAACGGAGAGGTCCCACGAAGCCCTCGGGGCTTGCCCGGCTTTCAGGGGGCTCGCCGGACCCCCCCGCTCGGTAGAAAGGTGATTTGGAGTACATCTGGAAGCGCTTCCGGGGCAGGTGGGGCAAGCAGGAGGTGGACGATTGGGAGGAGGAGGAGACGGAGGCATCGGCTGGGTCCGCCGGGTCTGGCCGTGTCCTGGGGTGCCTTCGCAGCCGGCTTGGCCCCTCCACCTTGGTGGGGTTGCATGGGAGTAAATTTTACCCTCTCCTTGGCGGGGGGGGGGGGGAAGGGGGGAAGGACCACAGGATGATTAACACCCCAAAACCACCCAGCATGCCGGTGCCGCTCCCCAGCGACACGTGCCATGAAGCCAGGAGAATGTTCCCAGCATCTTGCTGGAGGTAGCGTCACCCGTGATGATGCGGCAGCGCTGGAGGAATGCTCGCCTCCCCCCCAAACCCTGGGTCCTACACCACCCACCTCCCAGATCCACATGTTTTAACCCTTAAGCCCCCTCTTTACACCCATTTAAATTGCTGGCTTTAAATTTCCTGTGGGCAGGAAAAAACAAATAATCTCCCCTCCTCTAAGCTATAGAAAAACCTCATCAACCTCATCCAGTTGAAGATGGTCCTGCTCGTTGCAGGAGGTTGGACCAAATGATGTTTCAAGGTCCCTTCCACCCCAAACCATCCTGCGATAAAACCAAGAACACCTGGATTTACCCGAGCGATCGGAGATGGCTCCTTCGGAGTCGAAGTTCAAATTTTCAGAGCTGTCGGCAGTGCCGATGGAGGCTTCAGACTCGAGGGTTTCGTCGTCGGAGGCACGGGGCTCCAGTGTCAGCATCTCAAACGTCAGCTCCTCCCTGCCAAAACCAACCCAGTTCCACTGACCCAATGGGACCAAAAAGGTGGGGAGGAGAAGAAAGGGATACACATACACCAAGAGATCATGGAGGGATGAAGTCCTCCAGGTCACCCTGTGAGCAGCGTGTCAACCATATGCCGTCAAGCGACGTCCATAGGTAACCTTATAGCTAGGGGACGTGGCTTGAACCCTCGGCCAGACTCACTTTTCCTTCTGCAGGCTCTCGATCTGCTCAGTCAGCACCTTCTCCTCCTGCTGCATGGCCACTTGCTGCTGCTCTGTCACCTCCATCTCCATGGCTTCCTCACTGCTCATGGTCTCCTCGGGGACATCCGTCACAGAGGGCAAGCGTACGGCAACAGGAGATGTTGGGCTGGGGTAGGCGCCGCGTCGCACGCGTCCTTTGCCCTGAAGAGAGACAACAGTGTCACCACCACCAGCCAAGGTGATTTTGCAAACATCTCAAGTGCCAACCACACTGCTCTCCCAAGGAGCAAAGAAGACGGCCCCAGCCATCGGTCCTCAGTGTGCCACCGGCAGTTGCACCCAGGACCCTCCAAAATCTCACCCCAGGCTGGGAGAGGTACCAGAAGGACTCAGCATGTTGGAAGGGGTGAGGATGGAGGTGGTGAGGATGGCGCTGATGGACCAGCTACCAGCTGATGGACCAAGTGCAACTTGGACTTCCAAGCAAGCCCAGCTGGTGGCAGGATGGGTTTCCGCAAAGGCCACAACCCATGAGATGGGAAGCTTGACCTGTCAGATGGTCGTGTTGGCTTTGGGTGGGAGCATCACCAGGGCTTTGATTTCAGGGCAGCCAGCTCCTGCTTTATCGTTAGATCGTGTCTCGCATCTTTTCCCCACCCACCCTCAGTATTTCCTGAGCATTGCAAGGGTCTCCACTGACTCCTTTGGCAAACGGTAACTCACACCTAATCATGTTGTCTGTGCTCTGATCTCATGTACATGAGATCCAGAAACCAAGATCACCTCCAACGGTCCATTATAAGACAATAAATGTTCAATTTTGTGCTCACGGTTAAACAGGGAGATTTAATGCAGCTCTGAAGAACGATCTATTTTTTTTAATATTAAAACTGACAATGAAAAAGGACTCAAACAGGGGGTAGTATGTATGGAGGAATATTATATGTGCAGCTCTTTTAATCTTTTGAGGACCAGCTCTACAGATCTGCCTCGTGGAATAGAAGAAAAAGATGGATTTGGGGGGATGAGGGACACCATGGACATTAAAAAGCTTTTTTCTTAACTGTTATCATAACCAGACACATCTTATCTTCTAAATTCAAGATCCTGAACTGACCAGGACTTAGGAGACATTGACCAGCCTGAGTCGTGCCCATCACTTGCTGCCTTCCTCCTGACAACCATCACCCAGGATGAACCTACATCTCCTTGTGGTTGAAGAGCTTGTTGCAATGTAGCTTTTCGCCCTGTAAGACTATTTAAACCCTGCAGCTGGGGCATCCCTGGGTCTTCCTGATAACCCATGCACCCAGAGTGGGTTTGCAGGGTAAAGGAGCCTCCCTTTTTTCCTTTAAAAGTGAGATTTGCTTCATTTTACCCCCTTCATCTTTTAACATCACATCTCAGAGACCTTTCTTCAGCAGCAAAACCACTCCTGCACCCCAGTGTTCCTCTGATAAGACCTTCTCATGTGGTCTCTGGAGCTGAAATGCAGCTATCTGAATCCTATTAGTCAAAACCCCTGAGATCCCAAAGATCCCACTGGCTCGTGGACGTAGGCCCCTGTAAAATGGCACGCTTGCAAAACAGCATCAGGGGAGCAGAGCTCAAATTTTGCTCTTCTCCATCTCCTGACTCCTGTGGATGCTGAAGGATGGGGAGAAGCATCATGGGCTGAACCTGGTAGGAAGGCAAACAGCCCCACGAGCATCCCCAAACACCTGCAGACGCTTTTCTTGCCCGTCACGGTTTCACTGAGAACTTAAACTCAAGTTGGGATGGAGTTGGGGAATACAGGGGTTGCTAGACCCCTCCCAATTCAAACCTGGGTGTCCTGACCTTCTGTTCAAGGTGGTGGTGGTGCTCCTCCTCCAAGAAGGTGGAGGAGACCTTTGGATGCCTCGTGGCCTCTGAGGCATCCGAGCTGGGGGTTTTATCAACCATCTTGAGATACAGCAGCACTGCGAAAGCAACTTGATGCTGAAATTCACCCTGAGCGAGCAGAAATTGGTGTGGGAAGGGAAGGAATGAATCAAGCAAAGCAAATCAAAGCAGAGGGAAGCACAGCATGGAAAAAGAAAATAAAACAGGAAAAAAAGAAGTAGGAAAGGGGAAAAGGGTGGAAGGCGGTTTTTCGAGGAGCTGCGTGCAGGGATAGCCGAGTGCTGGCTGTCCCAAACTCCTGCCACTCGGGGGACCTGCGGGAGAAACGGTGGCCCTGAGGAGTGACACCCGCTCGGGGACCGGACGGGCGACGTCACGGACAATGGCCAGTGGGACGAGGCTGGAATGAGCGGCGGTGACACACAACGGAGGGACGCGGCGGCTGGCGCAGAGCGCGCTGCAGTTAATACATACCGGGATTGAACTGCGGGTTATGCTCATAAATCTAACTGCAATTAGTACGGGTTTCTGGATTAGAGAGGAGATGAAAAGGAAAGCAGAAGGTTAGAGTGCACATGCCGTCGCCCCTCCAAAAAACCCGTTTTTGTTCATTTTTATGGGGTTTTTTTTTTTGAACTGGGATGAATGGGGCAGCTCTCCAGCACCAGCCCCACAACCTTGGGCAGCCCCTGCTTGGATTTCATCCCCAAAAAAGCAGGAGCAACGTGTTCCTGAGGACCACAGCGGGCAGGTCCAAGCAGAAGGGCCACTTGGCTCCTTAGCCCAAGCCTGGGACAACCGCGTTGCGCCAAGTCTGTCCCTCTCCTGCAGCCCAACAAGCCAAGCACAGCGTGCATCTGCAGCCTGCCGGCCCCCCCGAAAGCATGGAAGCTCAATGAGATGGGTTTGAGGCTCCCAAAAAGGCAGTGTGGGAGGAGGAAGAGCCTTTGCAGAGCTCATTTTGGGTTCAAATAATACGATTGAGCCCAAAAAAGGATGGTCCAGGTCTCGCATGGGGCGATGTCTAGCCAGTCAGTGAAAGGCTTGACTCAACCCAGGACCAAACAAGTTCAAAAGAAGGTGGAAACATTGATCAGGACCATCTGAGCTGGAGTGACCACATTTCCACAGACCGTTCCCACCTCCTTGTGCTTTGGTATGACTTCCTGCAAAGGTGAGGAGTGACCACGGGGCTGAAGGTCCCTGTCCTGGGGGAGACAGTGTGGGAGGTTGCGAGGGGTTTGGGAGGCTGGGATAAGCAGAAGATAAAGTAGGGTTGCTTCAGGGGCAAGGAGAGGGCAGGAGGGGACAGAGATGTCTTTGGCATCTCACCATAGATCTGCGGATCAAGGAGAGGCGGCTCTTGGCTTTGTTCTCTGCAAACTCCAGGCTGTTGATGTCCTTGAGACGAGCCTTGTATTTGTTCATCTGCTCGATGACGATTAATTCTACGCAACTAAGGGGGGAAAAAACACAAAAGACGACAAAATGGGAGGAGGAAACGATTTGATCTAAGCTGTTTCTGTCTTGCCTGAAGATCTGCCCTGATGGAAAGGCATGGAGGGAGAAAGCTCCAGCTGGAAACCAAAGGGTTGTGGAAATTCCCCTAAAAAGAGTGATAACGGCTATGGATGGATTGAGGAACTCGGACTAGAGAAATTAAAGGCCTCCAAGGATCACACCAGAGAAATTTCCCCCCCTTAGAAGAGGGATCAAGGAAATATAAACCCAGGGAAGGCAGGTTGCTTCCAACTTTCTTGCACACAGTAATGCTGCAGCAAGCTTCTTTAGCTGAGCTGACTGTTTAATGCTGTCAGGAGTGTGTTTGGGGGAAAAAAAAAAATCCTTTCCACATAATAAAATTAGAGGATGTGCTATACCTAAAGTCCAAGGGAGAAGCTACAAAGAAATCCTGTTGAAGGACAAGTGCTCCTACCAGCTGTATCTCCAAGCACGTTCTGGTCTTCAACAATTTTAATATTTACTGGAGGCAAGACCTCCTCTTTCAGAAGCCCAGCCCTTCACTGGATGGTTTCCAATTATTATCGTCTCCACTATTTATTTTTAAATCTATTTATTATGAACCAGAGTGAATTTGGGCAAGCGCTTCACTTTTTGTCTGTAAAACCTTTGCAAATGTGTCAAACAACTTAAAGAAAACTAAGCACGCAATATTATTATTGCTGCAGACCAAACAAGCTCACCTCCTCAAATAAAAAAGACAAAATTAAGTAAGAATAAAGATCTGCTTGCCATAAATGGGATTAACTATAAAACCATGTCAGCAAAAGCTCCACCTTTTCCTGCTGAGATGTGTCAGGCAGGAGTGCAAGTTGATCTGCTCTTGTGGATCCTTCATCACTTAAAAATCCCCGTTCAGCAACCTCTTGGGGATTGAGAGAATGTGAAACATCTTCATGAAGATGCATTCAATATATGTTTATAATTTCCATCCTAAAGCTCTCTATTCTTGAGCCATTTGACTATACTAAGCGTTATCAAGATGCAAGTGGTGACATGGTAATGGTTATGGAGCTGGATCATCCAGCACCACATTCTTACGTGGTTGTTTTACTGATGTCCTGAACACTCTGCAGTGGGTCCGTCGTATCGGGGCAGCGGAGGATACAGGGAGCAAAGACGATGGCCAAGGCATTAGCTGACATGCGATTGGTCTCTTCTTGGAGGGCAATCCTAAAAAAAATAGGGATTAAGAGAGAAGTCAGAGGTGAAGGCACCTCCACATGGCCATGGATGAATAGAGGAGATGACATGTCTACAGTGCAATCTCACTCTGCTAGAAAGCACGCTGTTCTGCCCTCGTCTTTGATCTGCTCGATGGAGAAAGCCAAACCTGAAGGCATCTCAGGTGTACCCAAGGCAGGCAAACAACCAGCATTTTCCACCCAAAAAACCTGTCCCTGCAGTGGTGAGAGGCACCATGGACCCGCAGGCACCACGAGTGACCAGAGCACTGCGGAGGTTGCTCATCAATACAAGCATCATTTGGAGAAAACAGCTCTGGGGCCACCTCCTAGGAGACATGATGGACCCGAAAGCTCTTCCCTTTCCCTTGTCCACCTGCTTTCAGTCTCAGTTATTTCGGTACGAAGGATGCCCGAGCATCCTCCCCTTGCCTGAAGCTGAAGCCCTGGCCCAACGTACCTCACCAGGTGGAAGATAAGACGCTCCAAGGTGCTGAGGTGGGTGCGGGAGAGCTGGTCAATGACCGAATACACTCCCCGCACTGTCTCCTTCCTCTCCTGGAGGCCTACGGAGAAAGGACCATCATTTAGGGGTGGCTTCTACTTCTTCCTCCTATTTAAAATGATACCATCTTAACACTTACTTTTACTACTTAAAAGATGGATCTTCTGGCTAATGGTTTGGGCTGAAATCTGCTGAACCACAATGCAAACGCATGCCACCAAAGGCAAGACCAAACTGCCCGTGGCTTTGTGTAAAAAAACCCTTATAGCCAAAAAATCAGACTTTGAAACCAGGTAAATATAATTTGGCAAAACCAGCTGGTTTGGGCCCAAAGAGTAAATAAAAAGTTCAGCACTAAAAGCAGCCGCTGTTTCCCTCTGCCAAGGGAATGGGATAGTGAAGGAGGCTCCTTACCCATTGCCCGTAGAAACTCCTCGTAGAGCTCAAAGGTCATGAGAGGGTTGGGCAGATCTCGGAGCCACTGCTTGAACACACTGGCGATGACGTGGATGTTGTAGTCGTCTAAATTCACATTATCAATGTCTGGGTTTGGCAGCAGATTGAGGAAAAAGAAAAAAATCCAAGAGGCAACAGTCAATATGAAGCTGTTAGTGAAGCCAGGGGGTTGGACTAGATGACCTTTAAAGGTCCCTTCCAACCCAAACCATTCTATGATAAGCTACTTCTCTACAATAGAAAGTGTTCATGTGCTACCCTGAACCCACATTGCGTTTAATGGCAAGAAATCCAGCACCTGATTTCAGCTCCACGTGTTAAAATTAGAGAGAAATGCATTTTCCAGGGCATGTAATCCTAGGTGGGACCAGGATTTCTTTTCTTGCTGGCATTGATTGCTATGGTGTAAGTAAGGCAGAGTTTTCCCTCAACTAGAATGACTTTTTTCATGTATTGCAAACAAAAAGCATGAGTTGGTGACGTGAGGTTTGGTTGGAGGTGTGAAAGCATCACTTGCACAGCCTGCAGTCGGGGAAGGCAGGACCACTCCCTTGTTTTGCCCTGATGAAGCATCCCACCTTCCTTACATCCAACCTTGCTGTTGCAGATTTTTCTCCCCATGTGTTTTTTTTTTTTTTCCCCATCCTTTTACCTGTATCGAGTCCTTGCCGCAGCTCCTTGATCTTGTTGGTGGACCCTGATTTTCTGTAAATGCCCTCTGTGTACAGCCCGTGCATTTCGATGTAGTTGATGAGCTTCTCCACCAGCACGGGCACTGCTCGCTCCTCGCTGGTTAACCGGGAGAGCTCCACGCCAAACTGCCGAGATGAGAGCTCGGGGTCATACTGAAGAGGAAAAGGAAAAAAAGGGTTTTAAAATCCTTCTGGGAAGCAATGCTGGTGCAGTGCTGGGATCTGACTGCTATTCAGACTTCTTCAGCTGATCCAGGTGATGTGCAAGTCAGTCTAATGAAGGAGGACAGGACAGCCAGCAATGTACATCTTGTAATGCTAAATCGGTCTCTGGAGATACACCTGAAGTCATAAAAGTTTGGATTTTCTTTCTTTAACCACCCCACTGTGGTTAGATTCTCAGCCTGGCAGAGCCAACACAGCTGGACACGGTGGTCCGCCACATCCTGCCCTCTGGCACCGTCTCCCTGGATGATTTCACTACCCAAAGAGGATGCACGAAGCTGAACAGGTAAATCCAAGTCTCGGGTACTTAGATCAACTCGTAGCACTTGCAATTACAAAATGTCTGTGAACAAACATGATGCCAAAATAAGAGAATGAAAAAACCCCATCTACATCTGCCAGGAAAGACCCTTTTGGCAGCTGCAAACGCTCACTGGAGATCTGATATCTGGCAAATTCAATTGTGAACAAAGTCCTCCTACATGGGAGATTCTGGGTGGAAAAGTCAAAAGACCTAATAAAATTCTGACACAAATGCCCAGCCCCAGCAACGGGAACATGAGATGGCACACCCTGCAACCCAGCCATCAGCAAGATGGTGGTGACCACGACCCAGGTCCCAGCTTCCCTTATAACCACTCCTGCGTCTTTGTTTTTCCCATTCAGTGTCACCCTTTCATCGACCACCTTGTCAACCTTATGAGATGATGTGGGGAAGATGCCCATGCTGTTCCATGCTCCAGCGAAAAAAACCACCCCAGGAACATCTGGTCTCAGCTACCAGTTGAAATTCATCACCTGTTGTTCAACCAGCCTGCTTGCCTGCTAAAACCATCAGGAAATGCAATGCCACAAACCCCATGTGCTACTTTACTCAAATCAAGTAGCTCTGAGATGAGGACCAAGCATGGATGAAAGCAATTCTATGGCCATCAAGACAGAAGAGTTTGGCATTTGCTCAAGTTCACCATAGATCTGGAGAAACAGATCCAGTCGGGGACAAGGCTAAGCGTTACAAAATCAGCCATTGCCAGAAAATAAAGACTTCTTTCTCAAAGCATAATACATGGTTTGTGGCTCCCTGTCACTGAAAACAACCCTAAAAATGTTAATCCACCAAGCACAGACAAGCCAGAGCCTTCCTAGAGAAGGACCTCCAACCGCCCAAGTGGAAAGCTACTGTGGAGACATGGTGAACTCGCTTCCTTGAGTACAGCACAAAAACTTCCTTGTGCAGAGAAACCCCAAGAAATGAGAAGGCTCCAAGCATCTCTCAACTTCTCTGAAAAAAATAATCAGAGATGTCATTAAACTTCCCAGATTTTAGAGCAGAAACTCATATGAGGCATTCCCAGCTTTTGCAGAAATGCTGCCAGAAAGGGAAAGAGTGCAGCAAAAATACTATATGTATTCAAAATACAAATATATTCAAACATATATATCTTCAATGTATATATTCAGATTATTTCTTGGGAAAAATGTAATCATGCAGCTTTACAGAGGCTGTTCTTCCTTGAGAAGCATCCCAGGGAGCTGCTAAAGCTTTGCACACATTACTATCCTGGCTGTATTATCCTTCTTTTGGGCACAAAATAAACTATTTAAAAGAAAACCCAAGAAATCTTGATGATTCATTGTTAGCTGGGGTGACCTGCTGCATTAATTCACTGTCCTTCATACCCTTAAACCCGGCAAACAATATTTAATTCCTCTCTAAGGAGGACGGTGAGTGCTTGAGCATCCTCCACCCACCCTTCCTCGCTCAGCTGTACTGCTGCTGCTGTTTGGGGACTGCAGCATAAGCCTGAGCAGGGACCAGTGGGGTTAAGAATAACCCATATTTCCAAGAATAACCCCACATTTCCAAGTCCTTAAAAGCTATAAAACGAGGCAGCTTTCTATTATTCAATGTGGTTACAAGGCAGGGAACATCACTACCGTATCTGCTGCATGACTGGGCAGATATATAGTGATGCATTGCTGCGTTACTCCCAAAATACATGCAAACACCAAAGCACTGGTTGGAGAGACCTCCAGGGATCTCTGGTCCAAGCTCCTGCCTGAAGGATGGTTATTGCCAACATTATACCAAGTTCTGTGCCTAATGTTTTTTTATACAAGCTTGGGATCACTGTCTGAAAAGTATTTAATGAAAGAAAAAGAATGAGAGACATTTACCTTTTTGGAGCACTTGGTTGTGGTTTTAAGACAGCACTTCTTGTGACAAGCATATTTACATACTGCAATGAAGAAAAAGAGTATTTAATAATCCAAAAAGTCAGATCACTGGAGAAATATGAATTAATATGAAACAAGTAGCTCCTCTCAGGACTAAGCAGCTCAAAAGCACATTGAATTTGCAGTTTCCAGGGGCTAAGTCTGTATTAGAGCCACTCAAATCAAAAAAAATGAAGCCTTTAATTTTAAAGGTCCCATATTTAAGTCCCTGAAACATTAAAAAAACCCTGATAGATCAACTGGGAAAATAATCCATGAGTCACTCTGAGCTATCAGACATGGATACCCTCAAAGAGGTTGGAAATAGCACCTAATTTGTATTCTTCCTGCACTGGACATCAGCCTGAAATACCCCAGGGTTGATACTTTCAACCTAATCACAGAAATGTTGGAAAAACCAAAGCAATGGATCAACCTTTCCCATTGGTCCTCTTCCATTTTCCCGATCTCCCCAAAAATTGACGTGCCTGGAGGTCAAATATGCTAAGCCAAATGAATTTGCTATGGTCACGAGACCCACAGGCATGCTCCAGGCTGAAGCCGTAGGGCATGTTTGCCATATCCAACTCTACTATCCTTCTTACCATGACATTTAAATACAGTTTGACCATATGGGATGAGCATATGACCTTACGGGATAAGATGTGTAATGCAAAGCTCCCATGCACAAAACTAACTGTACCACGAGGACTGGAAGGACTGCAAAGACTGCTGGGATGGACTTAACTAGCTGACTTCAGAAACCCTTAAGATCTGTCTCAAAAGCTCTTTTAATGTTAAAAAACCCAAATTATTTGAGAGTGGGGTTGCAGGAAACAGCAGCAAACACCTTTCAAAATCCCAAAACTCATCACTGTCAAACATACACATGAAAAAACAGACCAAAGAGTGTGTGCTTACATTTACAAACAGAAGCCCTGTCCATTATCCAGATCAAGGAAGAACAATATTCACAGTAGGTAGGGATGCTGTACTGGGTTGCCTTAAAGATGTGACCGTTGTGCTCTTCCACCTGCGACAATAAAGGTTGGGTGGTGAGAAAAAGGAGATGGGTGCTTAGCCTGCTGCAAAATGAGGAGATGAACATGGTCAGCTCTCCAACTTTTAGTTGTTATTTGCTGTTTTTGTTTCCTTTTCAGCCCAATAACCCCATAGGCAACCCAAACAGACATCTAGCCTGTACAGGAACCAAACAATCATGCAAGCAGGTTAGAAACTGTGTTTGACTGAGGTTGGCTGGTCAGCTTCTCCATGTTAAGAAGGTCTTCTATGCATCCATGGCCCCTTTTTGCTCTGCACCTGCATGCTTCCTAGTACTATCATATCCTCTAGGAAAAAAGGACATGTAATCTCCTACATTTCTGACATTAGAGATTTAAAACACACACCATAAGTTCATGCAGAAACCCAGAACAACACTTTCTGTTTTGCTCTCAGTTCTTCTATAATAACTCTTGACATTACGTTTACTGCCTTGACTGATGTGGGACATGTTTTCAGAGAACAACCTACAGCGATCCTTGATCAAGCAAACCAAATCCACCTTGTCCATCTTTCTAGCACGTCCTTTCACGGCTGCACATTCATTACAGTGTCATGTTCAGATCTTAGCATAGGACCTGTCATGAACAGGTCTCTTATCGCTCATCAGTCTGGCCACAAGGACATTAATTTTTTAATGCACAGGCACAGAGTGCTCAACTCACCACATCAGCTTCCTTTTTTCTTCTCTTTTTTCGTTCTGTTTTTGGCACCTGGTATTAAAAAGATATTTAAGCATATTTATGGGCAATTTCCCCAGCTAAACTGTGCAGAGGGCTTGAATCTAATGTTGCCCACTGCTTTCCAGCCCCCGCCTCCAGTGGACCTGCAGCCCCAGGATAGTCACTCTAGAAAACTCTCCTACAGATCACTCTGTTTTCAGAAATCCCCTGGACAACTGTCCCCATCTTCAGCTCGGAGTTGAGTCTAGCTGCTGCTCTAGCTCCAAGTCCAGCAGCAGTGACCTAAAGCTCTCCCATCTCATGCAAGACACCCAAGGAGAACGTGGCACAGCACTGCAGCTGGAGCTTATGCTCAGCCTGCTCCAAAGAAAACCTGCCTGCAGAGGAGCTTGGGGAGGACTTGGAGCAGAAGAGCCAGAGGATGGGATATTTGTAGAATAAACACCATCTCCCAAGTCCAGCCTGAGGTGCCATGGTTGTCCTCACAGACAACACAGAGTAGAGAGTGAGAAGATCAGGTTTGTGAAGGGCACACTGCAAGCTCTGACTGCTCTAAAAACTGTACCTAGATCCCGAGGACAGCCACTGCCCATGTCCCCTTCTTCTGCAACCCAACTGATGGTGAAGTGTGTGGTCACTTGGGAAGAGGTCAAGAGACTAGGAAAGCTTGTATCTTTTTCTCTTTCCCTCAAAGATTAGAAAAACCACCCCAAACCAAAAAAGAAGCACCAGGAGCTGCCTTTCCAACCATCCACAGTTGGTTGCAGCTTTGTCCTGGAGACAACATCTATATGTTGGCATTGGCCAAGGCCCAGCTCAGCCCAGATGTGAACTGGGGTTTGCTGAGCCCAGTGAAACACAACCAATGAATCACACCTTGTGTGCCAGCTTATGTTGTCCACCTCAGCTTAAAGCAGAAGAGAAGATGACAGAGGTTCCCATGTGTCTACAGAGAGCACAACCCCATGGAAAAACAGTTCCCATGTGCCTACAGAGAGCACAACCCCATGGAAAGAGAGTTCCCAAACCTTCAAGGGGCTTAAGAAAAGCACTAACTACCTTCACGGCGGTGTAGTCCAAGGGTTTGTACTCTATCATATATTCATCCAGGAAGACTTTGAAGGTATTGACCCAGACTTTAACTGGAGACTCACTCCAGTCCCTCTGCTCAAGCCTCATGGTCTTCTCCAGAATCTGCTCGAATAAGGCGTAGAGGTCCTTATAGCGGATGCTTTTCCCATCATCCATCTTTTAAGGAAACAGAAGCAAAAAGAAAAGCTATTTTTATACACCCCAGACTGCCTATTCTGCTCCAGACAATTATTTCAGCCTGACCGGCTTCCAACCGCTCAGGGGAAGTCCAAGTATGATTAAAAGAAGGAAAAAAGGATCATCTAATAGAGTTGTTTCATGACCTTTGGCAGGGTGGCTTCTCAGTGCGCAGAGCAGGAGGATGTTAAGTGCCAGCTCAAGCCTTAGAGGGAACTTTTCGTACAGTCTGAGCAATAAAATAGCTTTTTTTGATCACTGTGATCATAAGCCATAGCAATCATTGCTCAGATTGAGAAGTAGCAGAAAAGCAGAGCTCCACATTGCTCAGATGCCTTCACCACTCGCAAATGTAACACAAAGGTTTCCAGGCACTTCGGGTGGCAAATAGGAGTTTATTGACTTACTGTCATCTCCCATTTGACTGGGAGCAAAGCTGTAACAAGGAGACCAGATATCTCCCCTCAATGTATATTGAGAGCTGGCTAATGAGGAAGAATTCAAATTTACAGCTTACAAGACTAAATACAATGGAAAAGCATCCATCCTTTGGGACGAGCAGACCAGGAATGGAAGGCTTGGCAGCATCTCCACCACCAGCAAGACCCAGAGTATCTTGTTTCTCCTGGTGGTGGAAGATCTCACCCATCATCCGGTCACTTACTGCCAACGCCGAGGAGTAAAAGCTGAAGATGTTTTGTCGGAATTCCTTCAGCGCTTTCTTGAACACGACATCCACCAGTGTGTCCTTCTTGCTGTCCTCGTTATCCAGTTCATTCATCTGGTAAACCAAAGCAGTTTATGCACCCATACCACTTTCGCTGCAGCAGAACACCATGTGAGATGAAGCAGCACTAACAAGCAGCTGCTCCACCATGGGCAGACTATGTTAATAATGATTACAAGGTAGTTTCTCCTGCATGCAAACTAGAAACATGAGCATTTCCCTGCAGCCTTCAACTCCTGCCCTCCTAGGTCACCCATTTCTGATGCAACCAGGGGCAGCTCAAACCAATGGAAGAACTGAAGCTGCTGTGTTCATGCAGAACAACCACACAGTGCATGCACAGCTTGCCTATCTTTTCTCCCAAGCCTGCCCTGGGGCATGCTGTGCACCCTTAGATGAATTATTAGTATTGCTACTGCTGCCCGCGGGATAATTTTGTTGCCTCTGTCTGCTCTTCGAACTCTCTGAACGATTTAGCTGGATCAATGAGGACAGGAGTTACCTTTTTCAGGAGAAACTCATCCATGCTCTTCAAGTCGCTAGCACTGGTTATGATCTGCAGTGAGTCGTTCTGCCACTGCACAGGCTCCAGAGCCACGTTGCTGATCTTGACACTGCGCTTGCGTTTCACTTTGGGAGAGGGCTCCTTGTTCTCCTTAAACTCCCGCCGGTAGATACCAGACAGCTCGGGACTCCGTGGGGGGGTCAGGTGGTGGGGACCCAACTCTATGGGTGATAATTAAAATGGGGGAAAGAGACTGAAGAGCAGATAAAAAAGAATTCTGCCACTAAAACAGGGAGATGGGCATCAGAATAAACTTGTGGAGGAGAAAAGCACTGTGTGGTACTCATAGGAAAATTAAATGTTATTTCTCCTTTGGTCTTTTCCTCCTTCAAGAGGGGAAACACCTGTCCATGTCCAGATGGCTGCCAGGAGGATTAGCGACACAGAATTCCCTGAAACCCATTCTGCATCCCACCCTCTAACCTACTTGCCACCGTTTTAGGTTGACGCTGTCCATGAATTCAAGAGATGTGAACGAGCATGGACATTCAATTTGTGCAGCTTCCCAACCTGTTTTCCCACAGCAGCCTCAGCTAGACCACACTATCGTACACAATACTCCCATTTACAGATACCCTAACCCTATAGATAAGCCAACCTTCCTTGGTTCTATATCTTTACCCAAACCCCTATATATTGGGCTACGCTTGGTTGTAGCATAAAGCCAGATTTACACTAGCTTTTCCCTCTGCCATGAGAGCGAACACAATTTCTCTGCTCCTTACAACACCAACACCATGCCACCTCACCACTTACCTTCGCCAAGCTGCAAGCCAGATATCACCTCCCTGCCAGGGGCTTCTTGCTCTGCGTACAGCTCCAGCAGCTCAGACTGGGTAGCAAGCTTCTCCCGTTGGGTTTTCTTCTCACCCTGCTTTCCCTTTGCCCAGAACCTCATCTTGGCTCGCTGAGGCCTGGAAATAAGTCATGGAAAGAGGAACCGCCTTAACTACAAAAATGGCCTTCTACCCAAAACTACCGCGAATCTCCTGGACCTTCATGGTGTTTGAGGAGGAGTTAAATCCACACTACTTCTACCAGGGAAACCAGGCTACTCGTTCTCAGGATAGGCAAGAAACTCAAGTTTCATGCAAGCAATTGGGTGGTTTGGAATGGGATGTCTAGCCCACGTCATCAAAACTTTATTGCGATGTGAGCAGGATGCCTTTTCTCATTGGGTGTGTCCACAGTCACGTAGCAAAGGTGGGGCCAGTAACTTGTGTGCCAGCTTTGGCTGGTGGAGCTCCAAAGGAGCTGGGTTGGTTCAGCAAGGTGATGGAGAGCAAGAAGGACAGAGGAGGGACTTGTCTCCCATCTCCAGTCATGTTTCCTACCTCCCATCTGGAGCTAGGCTCTTCTGTGCAGCCGCCAGCTTCCCGATTTCCCCCTGAGACATGGTTTTGTGCAGTTTCATTTGGCCTTCCCCAGAGGCGAATCGCTGTACTGTCTGTAATGATTCCAAGCAAGAAGCATTTAAAAATGAGACAGTTCTTGGGAGGCCAGCTGACTTTTTTTTTTCCTAGCAAAAATTGGATATTGCATCTGTTACGCCTATTTCTATCTGCCTACAGGTGAAAACCTACACTCCTGTCGAGGTAGCTAGAAGTAGAAAAATATTTTAATGACTCCTAAGAAAGGCATTTCCTTTGCTCCAACTCTACATCAAGGTCCAACTTTCTTTCTCCTTGAGCAACCAATGATGAAAATCAGTGTGCAGCAAGCCACAGGTCTTCATCACTCAGCCTGCATAACTGCTCCACCATCTTGGTCTGGGCAGGCCAGCTCTCCATCCCAGAAGAGCCATGTTAGCCATGACAAAGTGATTTGTGGTGTTCCTAGCACCAGAGGAACCTTCAACCACATGGATCTGTCCCAGCAGAGCTTCCTCCTCCAACTCTTGTTGAGGACTTTACAGAAAAGAAGACTAAAGTCTTTGCGCCAAGGATATGTCAAAATGAACCCTTTCGAATGAAGGGATTTTGCAGCTTTAAGACAAAGGATCTCTGCTTTCGCCACCTTTTAAAATGCCCTGGGATCATTTTTAAGGGTGATAAGAATTTGCAATAATTCAGCCTAAGAGAATTCCATTAAATAGCCCAGAAACAGTCTTGTTGTATTTAAAAAAAAAATAGCAATTTTTGTTCTTTATTTCCAATTGCAGCTGTGATTTTGGAGTCGGACTCCTGGAGGAGAGACTTTCGGCATGAGGAAAGCAGGGAATCAGCCTGTATGAAAGGATTTGGGACATGACAGTCAAATATCTCCTGTAGTTTTTCCATCACCTAAATATCTCAGCTGAACGCACTGTATCTTTAAGCATTTCTTTTTCTTCTATTAAAAATATTTCAAATAAAGTTATATAAAACATGGGCTGCAGGAGAGTCACATTTACCATATTTACTCTTCTTCAATGTTTTATTTTTCACCCCTGGACTAACATCTCTACCAGCCAGGAGATGGCAGCACATAAGGCAAAATTGCCACTGGGAAAGAAACTGCCTAAAACATCAAAGGGTTTCTTGTTCCTGTCGCTCTTAAATTTATGTTATGATCGCATATAAATTGTGAATGGATACTGGGAAAAAAAACCCCTCAAAACCCATAAAAGTGATTTCCATCCAGCCCAAACTTACTTCTTGCTTTTAAAAAAGACCTATTAAAATATTTGCCCCCATGATATAGTTTTATTCTTGAGTAATTTCAACCTTTTAATCACTTTCAGTGCTTTGTTTTTTTAAAATAAATGTATTTTGTGGGGGCATTTACTCCCTTTTTTTCTATCTCAAAGCCATTTAAAGCACATTGGTATGTGCTGACAGTGGCAGGCAGGCTAAGGGGATCGCCACAGCAATGCAGAGGTTGCTCTATAGGACACCATGTACACTTTCTTTTTTAAATATGTATCATATCTACTGCACAAGCAGATCTAGGATACAGATTTTGGAGTAGAGCAAAGCAAGTGAAACCCCTGGCTCATGCAGAAGACTTTGAGTCAAAAACATCTGTAATGCACTTTTTTAGACAAAACTGGAAGAAGGATTTTCTACTATTACTATCACCACTTCTCTCTGCTCTGCCCCAATTCTTGACCTACTACCGTTCAGTGTTTCCTCTGCTATCACAGCAACCTCTCCAGCTTTTGAAAGTAAGGACTAAAAGGCACTTTTGGTGCAAGATCCTTCTGTTTGAGGGACTCCTCCAAGAAGCTCTGAAGGGGAAGGTCCTGGTCTGGATAGTAAACCTTCTCAGATGTCAAGACAAGCCTCTGCACCAGAAAATCCCCGGCCAGGGAACACCACAAAGCATCTTATGCAGGCAAATGGCAATAGCCAGGGGTCTGGAGTTGTCCCCTGGACAAAGAGGGGACCAAATATTTTTCCTCTGAAAGAGCAACCTGTATTTCACCCACCCGTGCTAGCAAGAGATAACTATGGCCAAGAGACAGGTCCCAGCAGGCAGCAGTGCTATGTGCTGCATTGAAGTGCTTCCTGAAGTGCAATGGTCCCTCTGAATGGCTTAGGACAAGAGATCTTCTTTCTTTGCTGGCTCTTAAGGTGTGGTTGGGATCAGCTGGTGACAGACACTTGGACTGATGTTTGTCAATTCATGGCTTTGGTATGGAGGTTGGAGCAAAACGACTGATCCGTTACCCAGGTTCCCCTCTCTAAGAGCCTCTGCTGAAGGAGGATGTATTCAGAAGGTATTTCTGGTGTGGTTTCTGTAACTGAGGCTTTCCATTTATTTGCTGCAGGAAAGCTCTCCAGGCTTAGGTGCAAAACAGAAGAGGTATTAATATGTGCTGACCACACATATAGCCAGGAGCTATTCCTCCCACTTGTACTTGTCTCACCGCAAGGTAGGTTAATCCTTGCCTATTCACTAGCCAAAAAACTCAAGCAACCTTTGAATGCTTGGTCTTGTCAGGAAGCCCTTTAACCTTAAAGGCACCTTGGAATCAACTGTACCTTCAGCAGCCGCCTTATATACTGGTGCACCTTGGGTTTCAGGTCTGGCTGAAGATGCTCTTGGTCTTTGCTGCTCTGGGGTACCCCAGACTTAGGTCAGGAGCATCATTTTCTGGTGGACCTCTACTTACCAGCTGGTGATACACAATCATTGACTTGATGGTCAAGAAACCAATGGGCAAAACAGGCAGGTTCACGCCAGTGCAGCTGGTGAGCAATCACATGCTCAACTTCACAAGGTTGCATGTGATCTCTCTTTCATCTATCCAGCAGCTCTTGGCTGCTGAGCAGCACATTAAAAGAGGCTTTTTTGGAAAGTTGTAGCTGGGGGCGGGAGCTGTATGAATAAGCTATTCACTAGCATGGAAACCAGCCCACACATGGTGGCTGCCTGACTTGTCTTCATGTGAGCATCACAAGACACAACGAATGTATCTAAATAGACATCAACCTACTTGAATTTGTACCCAAACCAAGATGCACCAGTATTGCTCTGTCATTGGCTGCTCCATCACCTACAACACCCAACCGGGCTCTGCTAATAAATATGAATAAGTGGTCCCTAAATTTTGCTACTTGTGGCAATCCTGACCCAGCAAAGCCACAAGCCAAAGGGCTGGTCCCAAACCTGCAATATAGAATACAGATGGAAACACTGTACACGTTGTCAGGACATACAGACATAGGGTATCGCTGAGCACACGACTTCACGGGTAGTGTTTGCTAGAAAGCAGAACTCAACCGCACAAGGGGTGAATGTGCTGACTACCAGTTAGAGCTAGTGATGGAGACCAGAGTAGAAGAGGGATACGGGGTAGACAAGAGACAGTTGGCACCTACTACTACTTGCATGCGTTGAGAGCTGTTAAACCAGGTGAGCAGAGTCCCAAAGAGCATTTCCAAAGAGTGGAATGAATCAGGTCCCTCCCAAGGATGGAGCTTGCCAAGCACGAGCCCAGCACCTTTCGCATCCCAGTGGGAAAGATTGCTATGGCTAAAAAACCCCTAGCGCTTTGTAAGAGGGTAGCCTCCAGGAACACAGCACGGCACTGCAGGTAGAGCGCAGCCCCTCGCCCGGGGCTTTCGCCAGGCTATGTAAAATACTACATTTTACTACATAAAAATTCTCCCTTTCCTGATCTACAAGCAGGGAGATGCGTGAAGATGCAGCCAAGTGATCTCAGTTCATACAGCTGCGTCTTTCAATCAGGTTTGGAGTAGTCCTGGCTCAAAACCCCTGGAAATTTATCAAGAGCAACCTTAAAAATTCACTGAATTTGTAAGTCTCTGCCCTCTTCCAGCAAGAAAATTATCCCGGGAAAAATTCATCCTTTATAATAAAAGCTGCTAACAGAAAAGTCACGAAAAGCCCTTCTTGGCCATCTGCCTTTCTTGGAAAAGCAGATTTTAGGATTGCACGAGATGTTTGCCGGACCCATGGCAATACTGCAGCACAATATAAATCGCTGACTTTGGTTTTCATGCTTTTCTTTGGTTTTATACTCAGCTCCACATCCAGCACCACAGCTGGAGCAGAGGAGCAAGGCAGCTCTAGTCAACACTCCACCTGAGCTCTTACGGCAGGAGAGGATTCCTGGTGTTTATCCACACTTCTATGGTAACATCTCTCCCACCTCAGAAAAAAAAAAAAAAAAAAAAAAAAAAGGGGGTTGGAAGCCATTGGCCTCTTCCACTCCTGAAACCTCTCGGTTTGTGATTTTCTAAAAGCAGCTTATCCAGGCAGGAGATTAAGCCTGAGATGCAAATGCCCTGCAGCACAGGCTCAGGCAGGATGGTGCTGCAGCCCACAGACCTGCCAAGGGACACCAGTTACTGTGCTTGAAAAAGCCACTAAGGCTGTATTGTTGTTATGTTTTTTTTTTTAAAAACCCACTATTTCACTCTCACTGTATTTTTATTGCCCAATTTACATGTTTTTCCTTCCTCTTAAGACGCTGTCTGCCAGCATTGCTCCGATAATTGAGGACTGAATAATCATCGGATACTGTGGCTAAGGGTACAAAATCAAAAGTTATAGTAGGTGCAAGATTTATATTGTTTTCTTTGTTGTCTGTTGCTTTTTGGACAATATTTGCTTTGATCTTTTCTATGGATGTAAATCATTTTTAGAGCAAAAGGATCCTAGGGGGACTTTGTCATTGAGGTTAAAAACAAACAAAAAAATAGGTAGCTGTGCAATACAAGTTGCAGTGCTCCAGGAAAGCTATGGAAACCATAGCTGATATTGAATCAAGCCAGAAAACATCCCCACGGCCAAGAAATACAAATGGTTTCCCCATTTCGCATCCGTTTCTGCTGTGTTCGCTGAGTTTACCCATCTACAGCATCCTTGGAAGTGGTAGAAGCAGCGGTGGAGGGATCAGTGCAGCTAAGGTTAGCAAAGAAAGGCTCCCGCAGCTCCGCTCACTCCCTTGTTTCATTTCCCCCACCATGTTGGAAAAAATTACCATTTCGGAGTCACTGTAACAGGCCTGCCCCAGCCGGGCTGCAGGCACTGCCTCAGGATGAGGAGGTTGGTCAGAGGAGAGAAGGAACTCAAAATTGCCATCGTAATCATCTTCCTCCGTATCCCCCTCCCCATCAGCAAAAGTACCTCTAGTCAAGAAATCGGAGCGCGTCCGCGCCATGCGGGCTTTCTTTTTATGGGTCGGTCTGGGAACCTGCTTGACCAAATGATAAAACAAAACAAAACAAAACAAAAAGTTTTTTAAAATGAAAAGGAGATTCTACCAATGTTTGGCATCATAGTGTAGCTCAAGTACAGCCTTAAGGCATCTCTGAGTGACATTGCACCCCACAGAGGGGACACAATATTATATCTAGTGCAAAAAAAAACCCCAAAGGACCAGGAAAAACAAAAACCAAGACAGCACCAGGTGAAAATGGAGAATCACGGATGTTACTCAGAAGTACATTAAACCAAACCAAGACAAGACTGCGTTGGACAGTGTTTGCCATCAGGACCACAAGATCCTTTTTATCCAGAGCTGCTATGAATTAATGTTATGGAGGCCTTTTATTTTTAAGAGAAGGAGTGAAGGTTGCCATACCATATCCCCCTTCCCTATGTCTGGCAGCCCTTGTGCTTTATAGTTAACTTCTTTGAAGCTTTTGAGGGAAAACTGGCACAATAAGGGTTTTTTTCCCTCCCATGTTCAATTAAAAGAGAAAATAAGCAAGCCACAACTTACCTCTCCTCTGCCAGACCCCGGCATCTTAAATGGCTTCCTAGCTAGTTCACCCTTGGAAAGGCACTGATGATTTGCTTCTCTGCTGAAACACAACAGAACAGAGATGTTTCATCTTCTCCTAAAAGCCTTCCCACCATGCCAGCCCGGCTCGCAGGAGCATACAAGTGCGCAGCCCAAGCAATCAAGACCAAATTGCAAGTTTGAGGTCACAGGGGTTTTGGCATCACTTTGAATTCTTCAGGATTTGAGTTAATACCAAAGGACAAGAAGATACAAAGTTCTGCCTGCCAACTCTACCCATCATGGTTGTTACGGATGGTACCTATTCACTTCTGGATTCTCAAATGTGATTGTTCTGTTGCAGAATAAAAAGTAAAATACAGGAATTTTAAATTTTTTTTTCCTGTTGCTTGTTCTGTGAATGAATCAGAAAAAGAAACAGAAAAAAAATTTCTGGGGGGAAGACCATTCTCAAATACTCACTTCCAAACCAATTCTCCAGGACCTCCTGCAGATTTTCATACAAACTGGTTCAGGAGGAGAGCATCCTCGCTTTGCATCTAACACAGCATTAAAAAATACACCCACTTAAGTTGCTTTTTGCTCAGCTCACTCTTTCTACCATCGCTTCTGACTAAAACCCTCACCATGCCCATGCACGAGGGATGCCACTGGCTCTATCAGGGGGCAAAGGACTGGTTTTTTTATTGACTGCTCCTTTTCCCCATCACATGTGTCTGGACTTATTTAAAAAACATGCACAAATTAAACGCAAATCTCCTCCCGTCGCAACAGCACATAAACCACAAGACTACTACGCTTGGCGGTACCTTGAGTTCTCAACAACAAACATTCACCGGTAGCTTTTACCTTGGAAAGGGCACAGCAGGATTTGGAGGGGGGGGGTTATGTCCTTTTTGAGCTAAATGGCCAAAAGCTCTCCAAAATTAAGCATGGTAGCTTAAGAACACTATAGAGTGGGAGCAGATGTTGTCCCAAGATCTTGCTGTGGTCTCTAGACCTTGTGCTGGAGCAGCCCATCATTTAAGCAATGCAACGGAGCTGAATGACTGCTAAGCCCATTACATGTGTAATTATCTATGTAAGTGATATGCTGTCAAAAGTGCATTTGCATCCCAAACTCTCTTCAGACACTATTTTTTTAATGTGCAATGGTAAGATTGTCCGAATGGCTTTGCTGGCTGTGTTAATTATATAGTAAATGAGAAAGATGATGAAACTTTCTGCCTTATCTAGTCACTTCTACTCTGACCACCCAAAAATCCTAAGAATGTTTTCTTCACCTTTTACCTTGAGAAATAAACTCCTATCACCATTCACGTAGGGTAAATGAAAGCAGTGTCAACCCTCTTTCTGTTAACTACTTCACCGGTTAATGTCCATGATTATCTCCCCTGGCTTACATAATGCCCATCACGTAAAAGATCAAGAAATCGTATTTCCAGTTCTTTTTCCTTTTCCTCTGATCTCTGCCTGCTCATTGCTAGAAGATAAGAAATCTGTCTTTGTTTCACTAGGGGTTTTGTACAGTCTCCAGAAACAACATTCTAGATCATTTGCATAAAATGGTCTCTAGCAGAACCAAAAGCCTACGGAGAAAGCCTACGGAGAAAGCACATCGTCTTTTTACTCACTGGAGGCCAAAGGGATTGTCTTTTGGCGTGAAGAACATAGCACTTGCCCTTGTCTCCTCGGTGGCCTGGTTGGGCGTTCGGGGTTGCCGGAGGCGCTCTGTCCTTGAGAAGTGGCTGCCTGGGAGGTCCCTGGGGTCCAAAGCCGGTCTGGAACGGCACCGGGGTTCCAGCGCCGATCCTGATTGACCTTCTCTTCGCTCCATGAACATGCTGACAGGTCTGTCTTTGGGGGCACTGTGGGCTGGAGAGCTTACCCTGGTCCCAACGGTGAGACCTTTAATGTCCACCGATGAGGTTGGAGTCACACCTGTGGTGGGGCTGTGCTCCCCTCTGCTCTGGGGGTGCAGGATGAGGACCGACAGAGGCCGGCTGTCTGGTTTTTTGGTTGGTTTGAGGGAGGGGTCCTTCATTCTGCTCTGCTCAGCCCTCTGCAAAGCCTCCACCCTCCCTTGCTGCTCAAAGGCTTTGCGTTGTCTCTCCAGAATTTCCTTCTGCTGACGGATCTGCTCCATCATTTCCCTCTCATTTTGCAGCTGAAGCTGCTTTTGCCGTTCCTCCTTCTCCACATTGAGCTTTTCCAGTCTCTTGATGACTGAGTCTGGAGAATGTGCCTGCGCTGCAGTCACTGTCCCGTGTTCCTCTCTCTTGGTAGAGGACTTCTCCTCTTCCTCCCCTCTCTGGTCTGGCTCAGAGTCCTTTCTGACCTCAGAGAACGTAACTGTCCTCTCCTCTCTTTCCACTGCTTTGTTCCTCAGGTTATTCTCCATCAACTTTACCTTCACATTGTCTTGTGGTGGAACATAGAAAGTAGGTAGGTTGCTGGAAAGGAAGGTTTCTCTTGGATGTGCCTTGTGTATAACATTCTGGGGGTCACAGACCACGTGCTCCTTCACGGTGAGGTTATCAGGTGGCTTCAAGTCTGAAGGCGTTCTTCTGCAACCGGGTAAATTGCTGTTCACATCTGCCGCACAGAAAGACTTCTCCTGCAGATGAGCCTGGGGACTGCTAGGCAAAGAGTCAGTGGAAAACGACTGCACATCTTGCTCGGTTAAAACTAAGGAAATGAGTTTATTACTTGGGGTATCTTCACAGCTTAACATTTCAAAGCTCCCTTGAGAGCTTTCACTCTCCGGGGTTCCCTGAGGGGAATGAAGTGCCTCAGATACAAGCTCGGTGGACCACCGCCGCTCTTCTGAAGGTGACAGCCCGCCTGTGGACCGGACCTTGAGCAGCTCCAAGCTAAATTTTGCCTGTTCCAGTTCACGCATCCTCCGGCTTTCTCTTTTTGCACGAACCACTTTTTTCTGGTTGAGATCCTCCAGTGACTTGGGTCTCTCTCTCACAGCGACCTCCTCTTCAGTGTCCATCCCGCTATGGCTACTGGCTCTCTCGTGCCTTTTGTACAATAAATTTGCAGAAGTATCCAGTGGGTCCATGTGATTCACCCGATTATTCTCCATCAGTGATTTATGTTCCTTTACAGCTCTCACTCGCTCTTCAAATGAGCCATCCTCCCACTTAGATGGGTCGGAGCCCTTGATTTCCAACGCATCATCTGCCTCCAGTCCATCCTCTTCTCTAACTGACAGGCCATTCTCCAGCTGCATCTCTTTTAATCGCTGCTCTTTCAAAGCTCTAAACCTACAAGAAAGCAGAAAACCAGCGTGTTGTACCCCCATGCCCACTCACGTCCCTTCAAGGCACTGCACTGGTGCCATTTCATCACCACCACCATCATCACCTCACCACTGGCAGCATCTCAAGCAACCCTCCTTGCACATCTGGTGCAAGATAATGCGAATGCACATTCAGTTTTCAACCTTCTCCTCTTATGCCGTCTCTCCTACTCAAGGATTGCTCCAACGCACCTGAAAGCTCCTCTCGTGCTGACGGCAGCAGCTCCAGCCTCCATCCCTGGTCTAGCTCCTTTGTAAGCTGATGGAGCTGGAAGATCTTAACTCATCGCACCCCCGTGGCTTCTCCATCTTCACCATCCTGCCTGGGCTGCCTCTGGTACAGCTAGTAGGGGCTCATGCCCTGCTCCAAGAGCTCTTTGCAGCTCCCAAATCTTCCACCCTATGTCAAGGTGCTCCACACCTTGCAGGCAGCGCCTCCGGAGAATGAACCAAGACCTGCCCTGCGGCCAGCAAGCCAAGGCATGGCTGGAAACCCTCTCCCCTTCTCAGCAGCTGGCTCCAGTATCTCCTGTCCCTGTGAGACAGCACAGCAACCAGATCGGCGAGGCAATCTGAGTTAAAAATAGGCTACTTAAACTGGTGCTGCTGCCAAGGGGAAAAAAAAACCTCACGAGTATTTATGGCCTCGGCTTTCCACTGCCTACGTGCTCCAACCTGAAATAGATTGCTTATTCTACGAGTAGGATGTGCAGCTAAATAAACTCCTTTGTTAGAAAGTATGGACAAACGAAGGATTAGGGCAGGTCGCAACAGGGTCAGGGATCCTACAAAGGGACACCATCCTCTCTAAGTCACCATAGTCTGAGCAGTGCCCAAATTCACATCAACCACCCCCCTCCCCAATGAGCACCATCAGAAAAAGTTTTCTTTTTCAACTGAGGCCAACAGCGTTACCTTTGTCGTGCTAAATATCCTCTGCACACCGCTTGCAAGCAGACGACTTTGCTTCTGCTGGCTGTGTACAACTGCTTTGCGCGGTGTCCTCGCCAGGCTGCCTGGATGCTGGTGGCTGCGTCATGCCGCCGCTTGGCGTGCTCCCGCCAGCAGCTCTGGATGAGATGGGCTGCAAACTGCATCTGCAGGAACCTTCGCCTCTGCACAAAGCCACGCCAGTGGGTCTGGAGAATGACGGCGGCTTTGCTGAGGACAAGAGGGTCCGGAGATGGCTCGCCTTGCTTTCGGATCTGGTAACTACGCCAAAATCTCTGCAAACACAGCAGGGAGTTCCTTGTAATGGGTGTTGCGTGGGGATGGGAGAGCACCTGCCTTCATGCAACTTTTCCAGCTCTGTCTCCCCCATTCCCAACTTATTACAGCACTAGGAGTCAAATCCTGATTGTAAGCTCCTTCCTCGGGGAGGGGACCTGATTCTACCCATCAGCTGTATCCGCAGGATTTGTGGATCGTAATTTGCAACAAAATCAGGCACCATCACCTACCTGTATGATCACTGCAGCTTGCCTTAAGCTCAGGAACTGCCTCCTGCAGAGCATGCTGCGGAACCAGCGCTGCAGCAGTGTGATCCGGCGCAGCACCTCCTGATGCAGCAGGTCCTGCAGAAGCTGCCGCTCCCGCTCCTTTACGAAAACCTGGCCAAAAAACCCCAAAAACATTAGCATGGAAAGCTTCCGAGACCACAAGACAAATGATTTAATCCTCCTGGTTTCTGTGTCCTGGATGCCCAGAAGAAAGCTCAGCAGCTGATTTTAGTTAAGCCACCTCTAACAGGTTTCTGCAGTTTCATCTACAGCCTGTGACTGTCCAAGCTCTGAATTACAGAGCCTCTGCTTTCCTTTCAGAGGCGGCAAAATGACAGCTATCGTATCAAGCTATGTCTACAAACAGATACAGTTTTTTGAAGGCTGCCTCGTTACAACCAGGTTTGTGACTTGGTTAACACAAACCAACAATGTTCCTTACTATTTTGTGCTAACAATATTCAAAGCTTCATTTAAGCCATTGGCTTCTGGGAAGCAGAAGAAAAATAGTTTCATTAACTAAAAACATATATAAGATGTTAATTTATCATTACAGAAATGCAGGCAGATGTTAAATCTGTATCTTAAATGTAAGTCTAGAGCTGAGGATAAATGTTTACCATTGTTCTTCCAACTTGGTAATTGTCTGGATCGAGTTTTATTTTCCTGAAGAAATCATGGATATTGTGCTTAGAGGGGCTGATCCCTTGTGGCAGAAGGACATGGAAATGGTTCACAAAATCCTGAGAAAGAAAAAAGGAAACACCAAGATTTGGTTAGATGGGTCCTGCTGTGTCCTTTTCTTCTGTAAATAACAGATTTGCTTCACTGGTCTACATGAAATGGGATATATCAAGTGAGCAGAATGACAGCATTTTACGGACTGCGGAACACCAAGTTTCGTCCACCATTTGTGGTTTGATGGGAAACACATCAAAGCAGGCACCCAGCAATGTTCAAACATCTTTCAGCGTGGCAGGAGAGGTTCTGCAGAACCCATGGGGTCATCTCAAGCAAAAAATGCTCCTAATGCTCAGCAAGGGCTGCTACAGAAGGGGGCTACCAGTATATACAAAGCATCTCTGAGATGCTCCATCGGTTACCGCTGTGAGGACTCAAAGAGCCGAGGAGGTATGAGAGGAGAGATCCTCCCAAGTCAGGTTGGGATCCACGCTCATGGCAAAAAAAAAATTGAGCAGTTTTCCTTTTCTAAACAGCTGCTGCGCAGGACATGACATCTGGCTCAAAGCAGCTGCCAGCAGGAAACAAATCGACACCAGCAAAGCATGAAAGGACTGACATGTGTGCAAAACCTGGCAAACACATGGAAAAGAAGAAAACAGGAAAAGCTGGACAACTCCTGAGCGGTGTAGAGGATGCCAATCACCGTCCCGATGGGACGCAGCCAGCACTGACATGACAGGGTGAACACCATTCCCAGGTGATTCCAAAACACACACAGAAGAGCACGTGCAAATTGGATACCTTTTTTTGCAAAAAAGAAGTCCATGTTACAAAAAAACCACTGCTTTTGTTCAAAACCCATGATGTTATCTGCAGAGGGGCTTGTAGCCTTCACCTAGGTCTAGACCAGCTTCCTAGAAATCAGCAGCACAGCAGTGGACCACTCCATGCCAGACATAAGGTCATTACATCCACTGCCTTGCATGAGCTATAAATTCTTTACCTGTTAAAAACCCAAGCTAGCAACACTCAGACAACTCTGATAATGATGCTAAAGGTGGCGAAAGATGGAAAACGTTTTACTCAACCTGGAAGGAGTATTTGCAGCTGTATCCTGACTGGCGAATGCGAACGGTCTCCAGCATCCCCGTGTACCGCAGCTGCCTGAGCACCAGGCTGTCATTGAACCGCAGGGGCAGCTGTAAGGGGAAAAACAGGCCAACGATGAGCAAATATTTCCTTTAACTGAGGCTTTTAAGCATGCGGATGGGTAAACGGATTCAGCAGATATAGCACATCTGCGTGACATGCATGTTGGCAACAATGCTAGGGGAGGGAGGGAATGCGGGTCCCCAGGAACCATACTAATCCCACCAGGGTTGAATCCTGTTTGCTTCCAAGCAGCCATTAGATGGAGACTTTCAAACAGCTAACTAGATGTATAAAACCATAAAGAAGGTTTTCTGGAGCCCCCAAACTGAATAAGACTCTGCCAAGGTCACAGCTAATGGGTAAGATTGTGAGCAACTAAATAATCTCCAAGGCATAAAGCTTCATCTGTAAACATCTGGGTAAAACTCCAATGGATTAATCCCCAAGAAAGCGTCACTACTGCAACCTTCATTTTAAACTTAGCCCATGAGACAAATGCTTAAAGTAAAATTCAAGAAATATGATGCATCACTGAGTCAGTTTGAATAACATAGCTTATTCTAAAAGTATCTGCTTTTACCTATAGAAACTTTATTTTAAAGAAGCTTTAGGACTCAGTAACAGCACAAACGAATTCACAGTGCTGTAAATCTCTATTATGGGTGGCAGGAGCTTCAAAGGAGTCATATTTATTTATTAAAATGAATATATTTTTCATATAAATTAAAACTGTATATTTTTTATATACGTTTCTACAATTTCAAGAAAAGCCAGTGCAATTTATCAAGAGCAACACCCAAGTGATAACATCGATACTTCCCACTGCTCATATATAAGTATCTTCTAAATCCAACTCGATTTGGGGCTTTCTTTTGTTTTTAACCCCCTTGTACTGGGTTTGTGTGGCAAGGTTTTGGTAGCGGGGAGGTTACAGGGGTGGCTTCTGTGAGAAGCTGCTGGAAGCTTCCCCAGTGTCCGACAGAGCCAACACCAGCCAGCTCTAAGATGAACCCACCGCTGGCCAAGGCCGAGCCCATCAGCGATAGTGGTAGTGCCTCTGGGATAACGTATTTAAGAAGGAAAAAAAGTTGCAGGACACACAGAAATGGCAGCCGGAGAGAGGAGTGAGAACATGTAAGAGAAACAACCCTGCAGACACCAAGGTCAGTGAAGAAGGAGGGGGAGGAGATGTAAGAATTTACAAAATATTTCCAAGATGATTTTTATCAGCACTGCTTTTACGGGATGGGATTTACCTTTTCAGCGTTGGATCGAATACACTTGACAAAATAAGGTTCTGCTTGGCCAAGTGTCTCCATCAGCTTGTTAAGCGATGCCTGCAACAGAGAAGACATCTTCAGTCGGGAAATGGAGAAGAGACCACGATGAATAGTGAAAATCCAAGCGCTTAAATCAGAAAATTAAAAAATTTGAATAAATGATGAGTAAACAAAGCAGATGAGAAATTGTTCCCCGTAACGAGTGTTTCAGCCCAAGCAACTTGGCTGGTTTTGTCTTTGCACCCAACAAATTAGCTAGAAATAAATATAATGCTGGGTTGTATTTTGAGATCTCCAGTTTGACCTTTTCACATCAGCCACTGGAGCCCAAAGTCACATCCTGCTCTGCACCAGCAAGCCTCTTCTAGACATGAGCGGGAGCTCCAAGACAAGGATTTACACCTTGCACCAAACAATCACTGGTATATTTTAAGTACAAATAAAATTTTCCTTTATCAAAAGTGACTCAACGCAGCATTTATTCCTGATTTTTAATGGTCCAAAATTTATTGCTGGCCTAAAAATGAATTTTCTTAATGACAGTTTTGCAAAGGGGAGATCTGGAATTTGCAATGATTTTTGAAGCTTGTGAACCCTAACCACTTCATAGGTTGTTTTTAGAGGAGAATAGCTTCAATGCTGCCATATTCCTGCCATATTCCTCTGCTGCACAGTTGCGATCACTGAGAATCAAGGGTTTTCCAGGTTCTCATTTTATATTTCCCCTTATTTCTGCATCATTATTAAATGTCTAGCCCATAAAAATTTATATTGGCATCATTGCTATGCCCAACTGCTCCAGCGGGATGTTACGCCGAGTTACTGCTCCACCTCGGAAATCTTTGACTCTCTTGAGACGAAGCACAAGCTCTTTGAATAAAAACATACTGAAAATCAGAGCATGCTGAGTCAGACTGCGGCTGGCTGGGCTCCTCCACTGCATTTTTTTTTAATCTCTCTAATTGTCAAGCACATTTCTGACACGGTATTAGTAACGTGCTCCAGAGTTGATTACTCCTGATTTTAATAGCATTTAAAACTCAGCTGTGTAAAAGAGACTCTGTTGCATATTTACTATAAGCAGAGTTATAAATTTTTGAATATATGTGTTACTAAAATGGCATGATATTAGAAGGAAGAATTTTGCCTACAGATCTTCTTGCAGGAAGCCTTTTCTTCTCCTTCTGATCATTTTAAAGACATCTGTATGGGAAGCCTTTCATGTTTAGAATAATTTATCTACATCCAGGATCTGGGGAAGAGTAAAGGATGGACCCCACGCATGTGCGATGCAGCTGCGTTATGCGTGTATTAACTGCATGCAAATTGCCCCAGCGTTCCTATCCCAGGGAGCAGCAGGAACACCACGATGCGGCAGACCTCCACTGGCACACTCTTGGTTTTCTTAAAAGTAGACTGAAATCACTCTTTTTTTACAAAAGAAAAAAAGCCTATTAGGAGATATCAATCAGCAGTGATGCTGCAGCATCCCACCGTGCCCCACACTGGGCTGGTGGGAGGGAAGCAGGGGACTCACGGGATGCAACCCCTTTGCCAAACAGCCCTGCTGAAAGCCCAGCAAGCAAAGTGCTCCCACCACTGGAAATTGGATCGTACTGTGACCACTGGCCCCGTAGGAGGGGGTATTTCCATTTCAGCAGCAGCCAGCGACATCCCGCACAAGGCAGATGGTTCAGGCAGCCTCTGCCATCTGGCGCGAGCTCTGGTCATCAGGAATCCGTAAAGGACATGCAAGGTCCCTGGATTAACCCCGTACCCTGCTCCTTTGTCCCTCTGCCTGCAAAACTTTCCAGCCACCCACTCTTTCACCACCTGTATTTGGTCTTTCAGGGCGCGAATTGTTTCAGCATCACCCCATGCTAGACAGGGCAGCATCCTTTTCTTTAGGGTACCACCTGCATGCAGGATAAAAGGGGAGGCTATAAATCACTGTGCTGGCGTTTTGGTACCAGCGGTCTATTTTTCAGCTGTGAAAGCCGTCACTCCTCTTACAGCATCCTCCAATACAGATAATTCGCCTATAGATTACTGTAAGTATAGGCATGGTTAAAATCAATAGGAGACGGAGCAGCTGCAAGCCTGATGTTCAGGCATTAGCCACAAGGCAGCATTTATCAGCAACTGCCCCCCCGCCCCGCCAAACCCCATGATAGGAAACATTTGTATTTCCTGCCTGTGACCCAGTTCCATGTGCTGCAATTTTATTAGCCTGCTCTTGATAAAAAAAGCAATCTTGCTGGCTTGCACCAGGCTGCTCTCTTGAGAAAATGCTTCTCTCTTACAAGTGCTAAATGAAATTAGGGCTGGAGTGCACGGCGTTTGTCTGAGAGGAGAAGCAGGCAGTCATACCAGAGCTGCCTCTGACTTAAATAGGTTTTTATTCATTTAAATAAAAAAAGGATGTGTTGCAGGCAGAGCTTCTACATTGTCACATCATTGCTGGGGAACATCAAAAAGCATAAGGAAAAGGGTATTCGAATGACCTGCTATCCTGCGTAGGGGGGAAATCTTCATGGTGTTTAGTGGCCTTTTATTTGTACGTGCTGTAAAAATATATGTAAAAATCTCAATCATGCACCCTGAGGCTTTTCAGAGTTTCGTTTGAAGGATGAATAGGTTTTGGGAAGGCATTTCACTTCAAGACATCCCTGTTTCAATCCCCTCCATGGTATTGTATGAATTAAACTCTGCAGAAGTGTATTTTAACCAGCATACCATCAGACTAGACTAAACTTAATATATATATACACACACACAGATGTGCATTCTGCAAATTATATATACACAGATTTTTATGTGTGTGTGCATGTATATATCTGATTACTTAATCTTATCCAGATCTACACATGGAGACTTTCTAAAATTGACCCACATCTCCAAAAAAATCCCCACCAAAATTACAAGTCAAAACTAAGCCAGACTTGCTTAGAAACCGATTTTTAACTGAAAAGCTGCTTTCTAATGCTACCACCTGCTTATGCATGTGTCTTGTAGCAGTTTCCAAGCCCTGATGCGCATATTGGAGGATTATTTTTGCTGCAGCTATTCCTAGGGACGGCTGGCTGGCACACAACGCCGACAACACAACAAATGCTGTATCGATCCCTCCTCTGAATTCCTCTGCCTGCCTGGAGATAATGCAGCAATATTTTGACCTTTCTGCCCCTATTAAAATTCATGTTCTGGCTGGCTTGAAAACAGATTGAATTTCAGATGCTGAATGCAAGTAAAAAGACTGTAAAAACATCATTTGGGGATTTTGCAGTTTCTGGATCTGGCAGAGAAAGCGCAACGATGCGATGGCTTGGAAAGTGAGGTACCAGAGGACAGGAACGCACCAACCTCTCTGCTTTGCAGTTCGTGCTCGTGTCCCATCTTGCTCCGCCGCATCATCCCCCACAATATCCACCATTGCTCTTGTTTCCCTCCAATGATACCATTTAAATACCTGCAGGTGTGTCTCAGCTTCCCAAAGCCATGTCCTCACCTGAATTCATGTCCTAAACGGTGGTGAGGATGGGACAGGACTGTGCCTGCAAGTGTCCTCCTAGGCACTTGGAGCAGGTATTTGCTTTTAATTTACCTCTCAAAGGCAAAAGATTACCTGGAACTGGGCGCTGATGCTGGGTGGTTTTTTCTTCTTATGGAGATGGAGGAGAGATTTGGTAATGCGGTCATGCAGTGTCAGGTTGGTTAGGTGCTTGAGGGACTTCACGTCCAGCATGTGCTGTGGAAAAAAGAGAGACTGCATTTGTTCTTGATAAATACAAGACTGACTAGATGCTATATTCCTCTTTATACCCTCTGCAGGGCTTCCTTAGGTGACCACCCTACTTAATCTTAACAGGAAACACTGAGGGACAGCTTGAAATGTAGCTCTGCGCTATTTGGCCAGAGCCAGATCCCCAGGATCATGTTCTTCCGAGCTCCTCTGAGGACTTGCCCAGGGCATCTTTGACCATGGGAAATTTGGCTTTCCTACCCCACTAAGGACTGCACACAAATTATTCACTGTTAATGAGCAGTTCATTGATTAACTGCATCTGTGCCTCTCCAGGTGCAATGTACATGCAGGGAGGAGTAAAACCAAAGTTTGCTCCTCCTGATCCTCTGTTCCCAACCCCCAACGCAGCACCAGCAAGGACCACAATGAGCATTATTCTTCTAGGTACAACAGATCTCTTGGCATCTCTTAACATATAGTAAACGCAGCCAAGATGGAGGGAAACTGAATATTAGACAAGCCCATTGTCTGTCAGGTACCAGCCCCCTTGCATAACCTACCCGCTCATTTTAGTTTAGGGATTTCATTACCAAATTTCACCAGCACATATGTACTCCTTCCCAGGATGAGTCAAAAAGGAGCCATACAGCACTCTCCTAGCACAAATCAGGGCTGAAATCCTTTGGTTTTTATGTCCATTAAAGAGCCCTGAACAGAGCTGAGCTGACCAAGGTCTTGATGCAGACCCAAGCGGTCTTCCTCACACCCATCAGCATCTCATCACTGTACCTACCGTCTTAACCCAAGCAAGGTTAAAATGTTGCTTCCCACTCACCTTTGGGAGATTGGGTTTGGCTTTGAAGTTCTTATTTCGCCTGGGGAGATAATAAATGGCTCAGGTTAATCCATGCGTGCAATTGCAGAATGGAGGAGTTTATGAAGCAAACCCTTCCAAATCCCCTTTAGCAGCCGCTTTCTATAACCTGCGCAGAAACTGGGCTGCTTCTGCATGCTGCAAACTAGTTTTACAAATTTAGTGGCATGGGTTTGAGAGGGAGGTATCCAATCAAAGGGAATCATTACATTGGAGATGATGGGATGCCGGTAATATGGGTAAAGCAAGGGAGCGGCGTTGTGAAATGACTGACCACCCTCCTGCTTTCTCATATCCCATGTTAACTCCAGCCACCCCAGTGATGTTCTCTGAACCTTCTGATGAGGCTGCAGCATGAATCATCAACATTTCCCCACCTAATTTGTAATGGAAACTTTGATATCACATTAAAAAATGTGACTACATTACATCGCTGTCATATCTTGAGACTGGTTTGACCAGCAGATTCCTTCCTTCTCTCTCTTCCCTGTGTCTGTCACTACAAATGAATGATAAGAGTTAAATAAATCAGATGCGTAAAACATACTGGGGTCACTTTGACCCAGCCGTGAAACATCTCCAAGTCTACTTGAAACCCTGATATGTTTATATTCTGGCTATTTACATTCCTCTAACTACCCATGCTGCTCATTATGCTCGAGGAATAAAGCCAAAATCCCCTTCTTTTGCACTGACATGAGGATGCCGTGGGCCCTCTCCAGCAGCTTGCTGTTAGTCGCGTTGACAAATATCCCATCTTTGTCTAGGAAGGCACCGGAGCTGGCGAGCCTGTTGTGCCGCATCCCCATTCGGCCGTTCCAGCCAACCGCATAGGCATCGCTGCAACATCAAACATCACACAGTGTTAGGAAGACATAAAAAACTCTGGTTCTATGACAAAATAAAAAATAAGATCATAAAATAATCCGTTGGTAGAAAATGAGAGTCGCTGCTTTATTCTTTTAACTGTAAATCCGCTTCCATGGGATGTGTTCATGATGCCAGACACCACGTGAAGTGATCAGCTAATTAAGCACATTTTAAAAATCAAATACTCATAAAAGGATGAAAACTATCAACAGGAGAATAACAGCTCCCAGTTCTCCCAGTCACAAGGTTTGGGACCTGCAGTCTGCAGATACCCCAGTGGTCTGAAGGATATGAGACTATAACCTCTGCCATCAGCTTTGCCATCATTCAGTCACAACTTTAGATGATGCTGACTCTGTCTTTTCTAATTCATGCAATGATTTCATTAGGAAAAGAACAAGCAAATATCATTTGCAATAAACTAATTATCTGCCACAAATGAAGGATGCCAGCTGCAGCTGGACTGATGGGTTGGCCCAAAATCAGTCACTGGGACCTGATCACAAATCACTTGCCCTATTTGGTCCTCTCTGCTGTGAAGGAGAGCTGCTTTGTTCTCTAGAAACACTCACCTGGCTGCAGAACGACTGAAGGAAATGGTGAAAGGAACCAAAATCCTCCCTTGGAGGAAGGGAAACGGGTACTTGACAAAACTTCACATCAGGGCAAATAATTTCCAGAGTTGAGGAGCCTTCCTATGGTGTCTGGGGTTATGCGAAGCCTCTCCTGGGCTGGACCCAACTGCAATACTTTTGGTTTGGTGGTGGGGTTTTGGCGGGGGGGAAGTTCTTTTTTTTTTTTTTTTTTTTCCTAATTTTAAATTCTCTATCAGCCTTGCAGAAACCATCATATGAAATAAAGGTGATCTAAGGGAGGATGTGGGGTCTGCAACCACCCCCCAACCCCAAGCTATCTTAGACAGGAGGAAAAGGAATAGGACGAGACTCAATGCAGCACCAGTCTTCTGGTCATGAGGATGCTGAAGGACACCGTGGTTTAAATGGGGCCTCTGGCACTGGTCACTTCTGAGATCTAGCAACAAGGCAGTCCTTTGTCTTAAAAGTCTTGATTTGGAGGAAGGACAAATATCAAGTGCTGCATGGAAATTAAAAAATAAAGCATGTAAAGTTGTTCATTCAGCCAGCCCAAAGCCTGAAGCCAGATCCCTGGAGCAACATGACTCTGGAGTGCAAGTCGCCTTCCTGCCTCGCCGCAGTGCTTCTCAAATTCCTTCCTAGTCCTATCAAATCAGCATTTTGACATATACCACTATTAAAACAAAGGATGAATTGCAGCAAAGTAAACCCCTGGCTGAGCACTCCCTGACCTGCTTTTTTTAAGCAGCCCATTTGATTCAAGGAAGGCCAGCGAGAAGCTTTAATATCCAGGTGATCTCTCCTGTCCACCTCCTTTCTCTCCACAGCTAAGGTCCCATCCTTCAAAAACCTATTTGCAGGAGGAAAAAAAAAATCACCAGTTGATGGGTACCGCTAAACCTCAATGGCCACTTTTGGGATCTACAACCCATCATTAATCCTGAGCAACCTCAATGCACTCTCAGGCTTGAGACCAGCTGTGGATATATGGACTCTGAACAAGACTAGAGAATAGAAATCCCTAGAAACTCCCATGTGGTTTTGGGGGAAAAAAAAGACAGCTGTTTATTATGGACACTTTAGGATGTATACATGCATATAGTGACTGATGCAGGCTTTTTGGTACTTGGGAGGTCAATCATCTCACCAAGCCCAATCAACTGTTTCAAGACAGACTGATCAACACCTGCTTTCCTGCATGCCACTTAGACATCACTGCACATAAAACAGTTTCATCAATGAACATAAACCAGCAGGAAAACGGACAGCCCAAGAGGTTTTGGTTAGTGATGGCATGGCTTTCATTACTCAACAGTTGGTGAAGGGACTTCCAAGGCATGCCGGCTTTCCAACACTCTGCTGAAGCCTGGTTTCCACCCCCCAGCATGTGCAAACCACCCGTCCACTTTCTTCTGAGATCAGAGGAGAGCACTGGGCTCACTAAACTCTCCGCAACGACTTCCTGAGTGATGTCATGCCTCAAATTTGCTTTTAGAAGCAAGCCCCGGGCTATCCTGTGGGTTGGATGTGCAACTGCAGACTTATCAGGGACCACATGATCACGAGATGGCTTTGAAAGCAAATTCCTGTTTAATTTAGCTCTGTAAATCACTTGCCGGTCTATCTGCTGGAAAGCTGTTAAAGTAAATCTCTCTTCTATATGTTACCTTCACCCATGTATTTACCCCTTCTTGCTTGACAAGCGCAATTTAACTGAAATACCAACATTTATCAAGTGTGATATGACTATTCAGATCAAAATCATGACTCTTCAGATCAAAATCATCTTCAATGAAAGGTATAAAAATCACCTGCCTACTCCGAAAGTGCAGGCTGTATTTTAGAGATCTTACGAGAGACCCCGTTTGTGCTTTCAGAAGGAAGGAGCACAGACGACATTTGGGGACCCATCACTGATGATGCCCAAGAGAAGCAAAGATCATGGACCGTGCTACTGAGGCACCACACGAGGAGGAGCATAGGAATTGGGACAGCTTCAAAAGTACATTTTCTGCAAATATATCAGTAAAGGGAATAAACTGTCTGTCCTGACCCTGTTGTTAGTATGCAACTGCTGAGGATGATGGAAGAAAGACACAGTAGTTGCTACCCTTGATCCTGGCTGTTTAAGGCAACTTGTCTGCTATGCTGGCTTGGGTTAAGTCAAATAAATAGAGCTGACCACAGACTGAACTCCACAGTAAATAAATACATCCCCCTTGTTGCCTGGGACAGGAGTAGCTTCCCTGCCTTTACAATGGCCCCTTGCTGGGATAATTGAAATGTTTTGGGCTATGAAAATGCTGGCAGCCCAAGCTGCTGCACTAACATGCCTCCAAAGCTGGAGCTCACCCCATCCCACTTTGCAGATGTTCTTCATGCACCAACATCAGATGTGAAGGCTTGCTAGAGAAACTGCAGAACTTCTCCTATCTACATGTGAAGATCTCCCAGGGACAAAGTTTCATGTTACATCACATTTAGGGAAACCTGCGCAACCAGAGATGCTAGAAACAGCGAACGTCACCTCTGGAGACACCAACCTTCTCTGCCTCAAACATTACCATGTACCTACTATTGTCGTAACCCAACAGATTAGAGCTGTAGCAGCTATAGCATTAGGAGAAAGAAAAAAAGGAGGGGTGGGAAAGACTGATGTGAGGACAACCAGGGTTGCATCACCTTCCCACGATACGGTGAGATTGCTTGCACAAGCTGGATTTCTGCCCAAACTCGAGAAGTGGCACAAATTTGTGAATTCAATCCAACAATTTTATGGAAATCACATCCTTTTTGACCACTGAAAATAAGCCAACTTGTAATGTTATGAGAATATTCAGTTCTCCTTCAGCAGGGTGCTACCACCACTCTCAAAGGGAAGAAATTCAGGGCAAGAGGGATATTCTAGTCTTGACGGCAATCAGAGGGCATGTGCTGAACAAAGCCAGACAATGAAAGCCACTTTTGTTCCCCTAGGAAAAAAAAAACGGAACAACCTGTGTCTCATTTCTGTCTTGGCCATTTGGCATTAAAGCCAGTAAAAAATGAGGTTTAATGATATATTTGGAGGATATTTTATTTTGTGTGGAAGGGAAGCCCACTGAGATGCAAGGACCATTACAGGGGATTTGATGGACATGTTTCAGGAGACAGTGTCAGACTACTCTTGACTTGTTCTGGACTTCTCGAGAAACTCAGAGCAGCCATGAAGTTACACCTGGATGTCTGCAGCTCCAAGCAATTGTTTTAGGAGTTGAGGTTGCTTTGATCATATCTTTCCCCAGCGCACACACACATCTCCTCAGAGGGAAGCAGAGAGGCACTGTACCCTTTTAGAGGTAGTATTTGGATAATCAGACTTTCTGGGGTCTGCAGAGAGATAGCACAAGAGTAGTTGGAGAAAAGGAGGAGGCTGAGCGCCCAGATATCCCTTTGAAATGAAGATGTTTTGCTTCGTAAGTAACTTAATTCTGAAACGGATTTGGAAAACCTTTTGCAGAAGAGGCACAGATCTGCATCTCAAAGTATAGACCTGACTCTCAAGCAGAAAGGTCTCGTTAAGTAGTTGCTTGAATGGCCAGAACCTTCAAGGAAGGATCAAAAAATAAAACTGTACATAAAAACTGTAAAAATTGAACCTTTTTGAAGTTAACATGTTTCTTTCCCTTAAAAACAAGGAAGCATTTGACAAGGTACGATCTCAAGGCCCCTAACTTCCCAGGTCCTCCACACCCAGTGGCGCCTAGAGCCACCATCACACCGCTTGCATGCAATTCTGCACCCAAACACATAATTGGGTTTTTTGTGCCAGAAAAATCCCCGGTAAATTTTTATTTCCTTGATATCGGCACATTCATTAGGGTTTTTTGCAAGCATCTTACCACCTCGTATGCCACACCACCTGCAATTGCTGCCTTCTGACACAGGAAAGTTGCTTTCCCTGCCTGCCGTTTAGTCAAGTAAAGATACTTAGATATGATCACATAGCAGAGAAAGAACAAAGAGAAGACAAAATTAATCTGGGAGAAACTTTAATACAATCATTTATAATGAAAGACAGTGCTCTCCCATCCCAGATTTCCTTGTCATGCCAATGTAAAAAAATGCAAGAGACTTACCGCTGGGTCCTCTCATTGATGGTATTTACTCCCTGGAGATCTGAGAGTGGTGTCCGCGGGCTCTTCCGAGTAATACCTAAAGCAGCACATGAAAAAAAAAAGTTTCTACCTGGCTCTTCACCAAAAGGCAATTAGCACAGCCATAGCTTAGCACTGACTACAGCAAGGAGGAGCATGTACGTGTCATGGCACATGCTGGGCATACAAGGGTGCCAAGGATGCCAACATGCCCGTCGTCTGCTAAGTTCTACCTCTCTGCCACAAAGTCATCACCCTTATGAGTAATGCTGTTTGCTCAAACCTACTAATTCCCCTCCCACACATGCACGGTGTGTTAGGCACATGTTGTCCCAGCTAGTAAGCAAACAGTGTGAAGGAAGAGGTTGCTGTGATGGGGGGACCTGCCACCCATGTCCTGCATGTCCAAAATATTCCTAAGCTCTCTGCTGTGCATGGGACAACAGAGTTGCTTGCACGGGCAAAACACCTGGACATAAGTAGGGTGCTTGGAAAAATGGTCATTTATTCCTTGCACATTTCTTCCCGTCCTACAGATACATGGACAAGGACACATATAGCGAGTAGTATATACTGCACAGGGAGCTTTATTGCCTATTGAACCTGTATCCTTTGATAGGGGTAGTTTTAGAGCAATTTATATTTAATAAATAGCCAAGGAAGTTATCATGCATGGTTACAGAAGCAGACTTCAAGCCGTTATCTTCCCCAAAGTGGAAATGTTTTCTAACCAAGCATTTAGGAAGACAGAGGACAATTTTTGTAGACAACAAAACACTTTTCAAGTCACTAAACTACAGATATTTAAAGACCCGATAAGCCTGAATTTGACATGGAAACAGCTGAGCAATTTTTTAACTGTCTCGAAATCACTGCTGTGAGACAGGAAACATCGCAGTGCTCTTCTGAACATGGGAAAAAAGTATATTCCTTTACCCTGAGGTTTCTGTAGTGGAAAAAAAAATGCAAACAAACCCTCTCTGAAAAGAAAGAAGTCTAAACTATAGCTTGTAACAGAACAGGAAGAAGCAATACCATATCCCCTCCTCCCCGCATTTATCATTTTCCTATTTAATATAGCCCAGATGCTGAGCTAAAAGGTGTCCTAAGGATCTTTTTATTCTGAAGATGAACACAAAGTGAATATGCAGAGATCTGAGCCCATCCTGCTGAAATATTATTCCTCAGAGCCTGAAATTTCTAGGGTGAAGATTAATTCCTACCAAACCTCAACAGGTGACATCCCTTTAACAGGGCATCTACTGTCCTCCTTTACCTGTTGAGATATTATAACAGGTTGTCTTGAAGCCTGAACATTGGGCAGGAGATGCCTGAAAAGGCTGATGGTCAGCTTGGTTAAATTATTGTATATAAAGTGTCCAAATATCCTAGAAATCTGAGCAAAAGAAAATTCCAGAAAGTGCTGCCACAGGTCATCTTTGATCCTGCCTGTGCTCCAAGGCAGGACCAAGTCACTCCTGCTGAGAAGGTTTTGCAATCTCCAACTTTGGAGGTTTTTGGAAAGCAAGCCAGATAATCTATCCAAGTGCCTAGCTATGACTAGAGGTCAAACCTCTCTTTTTAATCCCCCTTTTTGCCATTTAAGCCATTTTTTGTTACATTTCTCATCCTAGGAGCATTCTTTTACCTCTTTCAAGACTGGCATTTCTGTGCAAAAGTGACTTGTTTAGAGCACAGAAACCCAATTGTAAAGGGGGGGAAAAAAGAGAATAATCGGGAATCTGTTTAAAATATTGCATTACTATTTTTTGTAGCTAGTTTTACACTAAGAAAGCACATAACATCTAGCTGTGTGTATTTTTTATATAGTATATATGCCTGGATACTTACCCATTAAGGCACAGAAGGCTTCTCTAACCTAAAGCATTTAATGAAAAATGGGCTTTCACTGGTATTTCTAAGATTTTTTTTTTTTAGTCCATGCTCTTCTTTTTGGAGCAAACTCTGTCCTCCTTTACTTCCCTGCACTCCCCACCAAAGAAATCCCTGAGACAAAAAGCCCCAAACACCATCTAGCCCAACAAGCCAAGCTGAAGTTATGAAGACAAGGTTGTAGCAAAATATTACTGCATCCGCACCTTGCATTGCTCAGGAAAAGGGAACTTCTATTTCAGGCTTCCAGACGATAGCTGCATTAAAACCGCATCGTAATTCTGCCAGCTTAGCACCTTATGTGACTTTTTGATTAATAAAAGTTATGGTGCACAAGCTGGGTTAAAGAGGATTGCTTTAGACATACCACCCCCCCCAAAAAAGACTTTTCTACATTGTGCCGTCACTTGGCTCTTAAAAGAAGAAATACATACATGCCGCAGCCAAATAAAAGTTGTCATATTGATGTAGCCTCTTTTCTGGGAAATAGAGCAGGATTTTTTAGAAATGAAAAGCAAAAGGTTTTAGATTTAGGCTGATGAGTCTCATGTGGCTTTGAGTATTCTCTCTAGTGAATACAGGCTATTAAATCGCATATATTAATACGCTGCATTCAAGGAACAGTGGTGTGAATGGAAACAACTCATTCCCTTCACCCAGCTCAGCTGCAGGCTAATCTATTTTACATTTCAGGAAGAAAATTATTCTGATTTTTCAAGCACATTCCCTTTTCTTCAGCTGTAGTGTTTCAGAAAGACAGACTGATCTGCCTAACAGGTCTTTGCCTTCATCAAGAAGAGCTTTGGATAATCCCAGTCTGCTTCCTACTCATGAACGTCAACCAGCAGAGATTTGGTCTTGAACTCAGAGATGTCTAAACCCAGTGCCTTGCTCTGGTGGAAGACCATAAATTAATTGACAGACTCAAAGACACCAGCAAAGCAGCTGAGATGGGAAGGGAAGGGCGATCAGTTAGCTACACAAGCTGAATACAAGTGACCTAAAGGGAATCTCAATATACTCACCAAATCAATTTGTTTCCTCTCTTTGTGCATAGCTAGAACTAATTGCACAATTCAAGACAAGGAGATGATTTATCTGGTCCCTCTCTCAAGGATGACATGGGCGTAACCTCATCTGACTTCTGGGAAAAGCAGAGTCGCTGGGGCCAACCTCAGCCTGAGCATCCTCGCCTGCGGGGCCCACAAGCTCACTAAATTCAGGACCCAAAAACAATACACGCTCCAACCCCGGTTTAGCCTGCCAAAGAAATGAAGCCTGGGGAAGCAGCTTGCAGGAGCACACCCTGTGGGAAGACGCGAAAGATTTCTGAATGCAGAACATGAATTACTTGTTTGTCAGGTCGGATGCTCTCAGCCAATTCACAAACTACAGCAATGTTACTCTCAGATCCATGTGTTGGTTTTATCCTAAGAGCTATGTGGAATAGTCTATAATAAGTAAGGTTTGAACATGTTGAGCTCAACACTGAGCTCAACTTCACTGCTTCACATTAAATTAAAGCTCTGTTCCTAAGTGGCTCTTGAGTTGTATGAATTTCCCTCTTCACGCCTAAGCAACTGCAAATCAAAGCCCCCCCAAATTCCCATATTGCTGAGCTAACCTACAAATTAAAATTGATTCATTAACTGCAATTAAAGTTACTCTACTGATAATCGTCTTCCTTTTCAATAGTTTCTCAGTAGCATCAGCAAGGTCACTTAGCACAACACCACTCAGTAAAATCTAGTGCTGTGTTTGTCTTCCTGCTTTATATTTCCTTGTAGCAATAGTAGCAATAGTGGGAACTTGTAGGAAAAAATAACATAGTCCAAATTAAGAATTAAAGTCTAAATTAAGAATTAAAACACCTCTGCTCCCCCAACGTTATGTGCTGCAGGAAGCATGGAAATCTGATATAAGGTTTCTAGCAGGAAAAGCATATTTGTGAAGACTTAACACACAACTACTGTACTTACCGTGGTCAGCTCTGCAGAAAAAACCTGGGTGTTTTGCATTTACCCCTATGTTGCACGATGTTTATGTTAGCAACTTGGGCTGAGGATTTGCCCTTGAAGAATGCATATAGCAGTGCTCTATTTCTGTAAGCTTTAATGTGCAACATGAAGGAAAAGAATAATGGCAGAAAAATGATATATCTAAAGATATGAGCACCAAATATATATATATTTTTATATATATATACAAAAAATACAGTAGTGCAGGCAAGAGTGTCCATGTTGTCATGCAGGATGAGTTTTATTATGTGACAGAGAAGTGAGGAGGAAGAAATGGAGACCAAGTGCATCTTTACCCAACCTATTCTGTAAAATAACATTGCCAAATACTTTAGTTTTAGTAAAAGCCCTTGGAGACAATATTTTCACATGCTAAAGTTATTTTCAAAGTCCAACAAAATCCAAATAAAGTCAAATTCCAGTTGTATCAGCCACGTGCCTTATACCAGGAATATTCCTACAGGACTTGCAGTGCTTTGAACATATTATCACACATGTGATAACAACAATAAACCACACAACATATACCCCTAGCATCAGCATCTTGACTTAATGTCAGCGAGTAAATGGGGAAAGCGCCAACAAAATGATGCGCTAACTCAAGAGATGTGGGTTTGCATTTAATTTCACTCTTCAAACTCTGCCTAATAATTCCCTGTTAGGCTCAAAATTGCAATAAGGCAGCTGGTTCAATCCTGGAAGGCTCCTCGGGCATTTTTTTAACCCTTTCTACACTGAATGCACCTGGTTTCCATTTCTTGGCATGTGAGTGTTGTATCAGAGGAAAGGGCGGTTGGTGGAGCCTTACTGTACTTCTCCTCCTTGCATCTCTGCAGGATCTCTAAGCTCCTCTGATGAACTGGGTGATGGAGAAAGCTAAAACTATCCACACTTTTCAAAACCGCACATGGCACTGCATCATCATGCCCTTGGGGAAGCAAAATAAAAACAACAAAAAAAAAAAATGGAGAGAAGAGAAAGATTATATAAGCAGAAATCAGGAGAGGCTAAAGAACAAGCCCGAAGGACACAAGAGCTCAAGGGTCACGTGTTTTTCACACTCAACAAAATTTAACCTTAGTTTCCTCCTAACACGGTGCCGTGGCACAGGAGCGATGGGCTGGACTGCATCCCAACCCCACTTATAATCCTTATTAGCCAGAGCATAATCACTTTATAATCATTCCGCAATTATTTGGGCAAAAAGTAGATGCTTAGATAAATCTTTACTTTTATTAACTGTTTTTTAAAATCCTTCCTGTGCCTCTGCCAGGCATTATCAGCAATTCCCTGTGCAGACGCTCCCGGACACAGCCACCTCAAATTCTCATCTTGCATCCCAGAGGCGTGCTTTGCTCAGATATTGGCAATTAAGAGGAAAAATAGAAATTATTTGAATTAAGGAAGGGTTCTGTATTCCTCAAGGGCAGAGGACACAGAGTCTGGAGTTAGGTAGGATGGGTTTGAGGTCGGAAGTTGGAAGAAACCATTGTTGCGTGGCCAAGAGGACTTTTGATGGCCCAGCTCCGATCATAGGGTGGAGGAGAGGTTACACAGGTGACACTACGCAATCAGGCAGCACCTCTGCATCATCGTTTAGGTGGCCAAGTCAAGGGATACGTCATGCTCCCGTTGAGGCATGATGAGGTCACAGAGGAGTTACCTTGTGTCAGCACGTACGGAAGCATTTGATACCAATGCATTAAATCATCAGAAAGGACCGAGCTGAACTTTACAGAGGAACACTATCAAGGGGCATCTTCCTTGCATTAACACCACTTCATACTGCTCAGTGGGACCTCAAAGATCATTTTTTTGGTTCCTATCACCTTTATTTGGCAAATACGGGCACAGGGGGGGCTTGATTCTTTTTGGGGGTGTGTGGTTTTTTTGGTGCCTGGCTTCAGGAATAAATCTGCAGAAGTCAACAGGATTGTTTTCCTGTTGACCTGTCATCATGTAGGTCAGCCACAACAGGCACTAATGCAATGAGCAGCCCTTGCTGGCTTAATGCAAATGCAGAGCCTATCAAGGGAGCACAGGGCGCCAGGACCATGAACCCTTTGTCAGAGTGAGGATTTAGGTTTGTGTCCAGCAAAACCAAGATGAGAAAGCTGGGAGTCTCCACAGCCTGGCTTATATGAACAGCACCAGTTCTTCTGTCAAGTTTTCACTAACATAGAATTAGGGGGTTTTGTGTCATAAATTTGTATCGATGATACAGCAAAAAAATTTCTTTCTTAAAAAGCTTGATAATGTTCCTTTAATCAAAGTTCACTAACAAATCTAGTTCAAATGTGTAGTTCTTTTGGACCACCTCAATCCCCCCTGATAAACTCAACAATAATAATTAAGAAACCAAATTATTGAAAACGTCCACCCTTCAGCTAATTGCAGCTTGCCAGATCCCAGTGTGTTTCATCCAAGGAGGGTTGGCGGCACCATAAGAGGTATCTCTCGGGTGGAAGAGAAAGGTACCAAACAGAATTCACAGTGACACCGCTTTGCTGCTCTTCACCTCCAGGTTAACGAGGACAATCGTGCAGTCACTAAAAGCTGCGCTACGAGGATATTAGGAGCACAAAGAAAGGAGTCTCCAAAGCCAGCAGGAAAAAATGCTGATTATCCTTACAGAAGCAGCGGTAGCAGTGTTTGGCACTGCTGACATGGAGAAGACAACCAACAGGATGACGCAAAAAGCAGAGCAAAACTTTGCAGAGCTGCTTATACATACACCAGAGATTGTTCATTAAAATCTCCATTGGGTATTGCAAGCATGACTCGGACAGGCCTTCAAACAGGTAAAAGCAAGGGACATCCATTTGGGGTTAAAAGAGGGCAAAGAACCTTAAATAAAAAAAAAGCATGCTTCAGATATTTTCCTACTCATTAATTACACCTGCCTGATGGATGGTAGCAGCAACAGACAGGACCTCAGAAACCAAGAACAGGGCAGCACGCCTTTTTAAAAATTATATACAAATATTAAGCGTGCACACTTGGATGAACATACATGTGTGAAGTTATTCTCAGATAATCTACTATAATTTTATCAAAAGCTACACATCTGTGGGCAGTAAGGCATTCGAATCAGGCTAATTAAAGCCAACAAGGTTTGGTAAAAAAAACAAAATAAACCTAAAAACATATGCTGTCTTTGGTTGTCTGCTTTTGTCTACTGAGGTGGGGTAATTTTAGTGATCCTTTAATAATTCATAAATGCCTTCTGCCATAGATGCAAAGCATCAGTCTGGGGCTTTTCTGGATTATTTCAGGGAGCAGGAGGGACACCAGCATCAGGTAGTGGATCCGCCGTGCCGCACCAGCCCACCCCACTGTCCAGACACTGGCCAAGCCTTCTGCTGAGGTCCACCTCTTCTATAGCCATCTGCTTTGTGGTGCTTTGGCAAGATGGATGGGATTTTGGAGAAGGACAACTGAACAGAAGATGGGCCTGAGGTCTTGCCAGCAAAAGCATGATGAAAACATTGCCACAGATCTCACCTTGCCAACCGCTACCACTACCTGGGCAGAACTCAAGCTAGGAGATGATGGGTACCTCTCCAGAGAGGGCAGAGGCAGCTGAACATGTAGTCCCAGCTCTGCCATTGCTTGTAGGGCAAGCTTTCCCTACAGATAAGGTATACCTCAACATGGGAATTAGATTTAGGTAATCTCCTCCCACTAGTTCTGCCTATATAACAGTGACTTTCTCCTGACTTTTTCCCAATTCAGGCTGAAGATGCATATAAAAACTCAGGTTATAAATTATCTGAAGATTATCGGGAAGTTTAAGACAAACCTTATCCAGCTTTCTGAGGGGTTTTGTTTTGTTTTCTTTTTTTTACTCAAAAAACAGAGGTTACAAAGCACAAAGACGTTTGAAAGCAGACTAAAGGATACCAGACAGATAAAAGAGCAGCACCACATGCTAGAGAAGATTTAGAAACTCATCCATTACTGTGTATTGGTTAGTTTTGGTATGGAAAGAAAAGGCGATGCAAGAACTGAGTCTCAGAATTGTCTGAAAACCTCCTGGACTCTATTTTATACCTATATATTGAGAGATATATATGTCTCTATAACATATAGATATAAGCAAGTTATTGCCGCAAACTCAAGACTGGAAAGCGTAAAGCTAGCTAGTGAGGAGACGAGCATGGCAGGCATGACCGATTGCCAGAGACACAGAAAGCCAAGCAGGGCTTGAAATTAGCTCTTACTTCCCAAGACTGGACGTATTTTTATTATCTCCTTGATCAGCTTACTTTAGTTCAGCCTGGGTTTTATGCAAGATGAAAAGGTGATGCTAGGAAAATGCAAATATGGATTTTTGGAAGCCAACTCTTTCGAGTGATGTTTCTCCCAACGTCAAATATCTTTGCCATCTACCTCTTGGCATTACGAAACACTGCTGTCCATAAATGCTGCTTTGATGTGCCAGATAGACCCAGGTTCACCAGAAAGATTTTTTTCTCATACATCGCATCCAAGCAGTTTGAGAGGAAGAGCCTCAAAAGCTGAAAGCCAATTTTTGCCACCTGCTCTTCTGGCAATGCTATTATTCGCCCCAAACAAGAAAATTATTCTTTCCACCTGTATGGTTTCCATACCTATGTTCCTTGTCCCAGGCTCCTTGGCTCTCCCTGATACACACCTCTCCAACTTAAAAAAAAATTCACAGTGCGGCTCCATGCTTTATTTTAACTCAGCTGACATTTTCCCTGCTGAGGCTCTAATTTCATCATGAATTTCAAGCCCTCTTCTGCCCAGAAATTAATAGTAATAGCTTGTACCCATCTTTCCAAAATTGCTTTATGCAGAGAAATGGTCTAAAAGCACAGCCAGGTATTGCCTGCCACAGCATGATGATGCACCGTTACTTTCCTTTAATTTAATGCCCCCACGTTTGGCATGAGGTGGTTCTGGATGACTGCAAAGCAATGAATTTTGCTAGACAAGAGACACACTCTCTTGCAGCTTAAAGGGTGAACAGCGTGAAAAACTATAGAGAAGAATTATCGCCTTTTTTTGTTTCCAGATGTAACTAACAGTTCAAGAATTCCTAGCAAAAGTAATTTGCCTTATTTGCTGAATAATTTTTATGTCTCTGTTTGAATTGTTCTGATTTTCCTATGCATGCATCCTACAAAAAGGAAAAGTTAAAGCAGCAGTAAAGTGAAAATCTTTTCTTATGATGTGTTAAAATCCAAATGTACCTTTAAATGTAACTTTTGCATAGCAAAAATCTGCACAGTATTTAATGACCTTTTAAATAGATTAATAGCTCCTAATAAGTCAGGCTACTTAAAATACTGTAGTAATATATTAGACCTAAATTGCTGGCGAAAAACAGGCACTAGGATTAGGAGATTGGCACACATACCAGTTTTCTTCTCCACGTATCGTTTTCCAGCCTCCCTAAAAGCAACCATCGCCCTGAAAAACGCTCGCAGGACTGCCCAGCGGAAGACGGCCACCGGGTCGATCCCAATCATCCCACAGATAAAGGCGTTTTTGCTGCTTCGCAGGAGAGCTACAATGTCTGGGCGCATATGATCCGTGTTTTTCTCACGGAAATCCTAGAGAAGGAGAAAAAGGAAGGGAGAAAAGAGTAAAATAAACAACATCTACAAGATATGCTGGGTAAGATCTGACAGGCTACCCCTGGGACAGCATGACTATTGAAACCTGCTTCTATCTTTTTTTTCTGCCCCCATATTAGATGCCTCTTTATGTCCAGAAAATAAATGTCTTATCCCAAAGCACTGCTCTCTGAAGCATCTTGAAGCTGATGCTGGGATTTGGCATGTGCATTTGTTGCATCAGAAACACAATTACAGATTTGCACTCATAAATCCCGAGGCTGTTTCTCTTACAGGCTCACCTGCCCACCGGAATTCCTTCTGCTAATAATTGGCATGAATGTAAATGGGGTCAACTTTGAAATCATTTGCATGGGATTTTAAAAAGTACCTGCAGCAGTGAGATGCTGAGACCTATGCTTATGTAACCTGTATTAAAAAATGGCTAATGATGAAAAAAACACTGGGTTTTCTACACAAACCAAGCCCAGAAAGGCTACCAAATACCCAATTTCAACTCACTGTTGGGATGTAGCATTAACCTCAGTGCACATCCCTAAATTCTTCCCCAAAACGCCAACTCGCAGAGCTTGCAATGTGGAGAACAGGAAGACATATCCCCACTACCTTCTCATTTCAGCCTAGCTTTTCACCAAATACTTCTCTCCCAACCCTCGCATCTCTTCTCTAGCCAAGTCCTCTTCCAAACATCTCTGTGGAGCATTTGGGGCTCTCCTTCCCCAACACAGCTAGATGATTTAAATGAAAAAAAACTGCTAGGGAACAGCTGGGTGACAGACCTTCACTCTGTACTTCACTTTGCCTGCGTAGTGTTTGATGATGAAAGCTGGCTCCATGACTGCTGGAAATTCAATGTAGGAGTTCCCTTCGTGTTGACGCTTAAACTTGTCCAGCAGTGTCTGGTTTGTGGCTTGAGGAAAACTGAATGGAAAGAATTAAAAAGAAGACAGCCATAAAGCCAACAAAAAAGCTTTTATACTTCTTTCTTGACCACAAATGGGAAAATACAGGTATTCTGAGCTTCCACTTCTGTGCCTGCAGATACTAAGCAAGCACTATTTTGTATGCTGTCATGTGGTTATATACAAATACAAGGTATAGCTGGCATTGGAAGAACTCTTAACTGATTTAGTAATGGTCTGCAATCAGTCATAAAAGCACAATAGGTGTATTTTTATTGTGGTATACTACATTGTATGCCCATTGCATGGAAATTATTCAGGGTAGCTGCGTTTACCTGAAACCCTGAGTTTCTGTCACCGGTGTTGAGGATTAGACTGCTCCTATATCTATGGGGTATCCACACATTCAGGAAATATTGAGCTGTTTTGCCTACAAATCTCACTTCAACTTCAGGGGTTACTTGACTGATCCCGGTATAGGAGAGAGGAAGAAAAAGGACAGAGCTTGAGCAGAGCCTCTTGGTATGAGCAAGCTAATCCTCCATCCTCAAACTTCATGTAAATCTGCAACTTGGGGGTACATTTCACAACTTTACCTAATTTAAGCTTTTATAGCCTGGTACAGTATCCCTGGGACAACATCACTGCTGTGTGTCTGGTAAATGAGACAAGAAACGAAGGAGAAACCCACAAGCAAAATGGTGGGAGGAGAGCTCGTGCCCTGGACTGGAGCCACGCGGATCCGAGGTGATGCCAGCAAAACTGCCTGGCCTTTCCCTGCCTTTCACATGTAGAAAACCGGCACATTCATTCAATGGGAGATCCCTTACACTCAGAAGTTTCTACCCAAAAGCAGACCTAGGAGCCACGTGCTCATCTGGTAACTTCTACAAAGACAAGCTGGATGGATATAACCAAGGATGCAAACCTGAGCTGCATCCATGATGCCCATGAAACCCTATAAAAGTGCAGCCCCTACATACAAGTGCCCTCAGTTCACTCTGGCTTAATTTTTAAAAGTAAATCGATAAATCCACCTTACATCTCAATAACAGCACCCACACAACCTGCTTTAACTCATGCACTTGGATTCTCCCTTCACTCAGCTCAACTTCAAGCATCTTCAAATCCTTACACCACAAGAGACAGCAAGAGAAATGAGGAGAGAAGCAAAGGAAACCTTTTCCCTTCCCTTTAAAAGAAGAAATTCTTGAAACAGAATTTTAATTATTATTTGTTAAGGCTTTTTGCACAGCTTGCTGATTCTCCACTGTTTGCCTTACCACCTTGGAAACAAAACTAGAGACATAAGATAAATCAACCCAGCGAGCTATTAGCATCTTTCTAGGAAGAATCACAAGAGGTAAGGGTTAAGGATAAACACTTTTTAAGTGAAAAAACAAATATCGGTAGCAAAACTAACAGTTTCCTACTCACTTGCTTTCCTCATCCAGCAGATGGAGCAGGCCTGTCGGCTTCTTACTGATCAGGTTGATGCAACCAGAGTTGTCTATGTAGTCGATGTTGTGCCAGCTAATTCCTTCTGCTCTATATTCCTCCTAAAAAAAACCCACAGATAATATAACGATACTGGATGCAAGCAAAAAAAAAAAAACAAACCAAGGTTAAATTAGAAGGGTTTCGTGGAAACTGATGCACCATTTACCAAAATGAACATCTCTTCTGCTAATATGCCACCAGTATTTGTTTTTTGATGCAAAAGAAAATGATAAAGAACAACTTGAACAACCTAAACCACAGGGAACAGCACAGCATTTTACAGTTTCAGGTGTATCAGCCTTTTGCTCAGACATAGGTTAGCTATATGGCAGACCATGCCTACCAAGGATGCACGGCATGCTACACATCATTGCTTCTTGCTTTCCTTTTCCTGGCTTGCCATTCAAGTGTTATATGATGTATTTGCATCAACTAGTATTTAGTATTTAGTTGCTAGAAGAAAACGGTGGTACAACATGCTCATTTCATTACACAGAAAACGCAATATAACTCCCTTTCCTGCTTCACTGGGCTCTACTCTTCTATATCTCACAGTATCAATGGCTGGTGCTATAAGGACTAACGAAGAGACCTCCAGCTAGCAGAAATCACCGCTCTAAGACCAGCAGAGCCACAACCCTTTACAGTAAAACTGAGAATCTGTCCCCAAATTCATGCTAAGGAAAAAAAAATTATTTATTTTCCACCAAAATAACCCCAACCCTTGCTCTTTTATAACGGTTATCTCCTCTGAGATAGATTTTCAACTGGATTACTTCGAGAAGTCTTTTGCAGAAATTATTTTAGGGCATCTGGAAGAAAGTAGAGTTTAAAAATCATAATTTTTATCATATGCTTTTAGGACTTGTGACTCACTTTCAAAACAGCAATATTGCAAGTGCACCTTACTCCCTGTGTTGGAAAAAGCCCTACCAATCTAAGCTGCGTTTTTACTTCTCTATCATAAGACATTTTGATGGCAGAATCAAAGAAAAAAAGGGAAAAAATCCTCAAAATTACACTAATATGATGCACCTTTATAACAATCCTAATCATTTTTATTGCTGCTTCTGCTTTTATTTTTAAGACGAGCAAAAAACTTTAAAAAAAAGTATGTTCTTCCAACTCTCCTCACCCAAAATTAACATGAACTCTACATATATTATTTTTAGAATTAAAGATCCTGAAGTGCTTTGAGAGATCTCACAAGGAAATTTTTGCTAAAAAACTACAAGGTCCTGAACTCAGTATTTGAGATTTCATATACCTTTACACCAACGATACATACTCTATGCATATGTGTGCGGGCATAGAAGGAGTTTTTAACAGCCTTAAAGCCTTTTGGGGTCAAAACATAACACATCCCATTGGAAAAAAAAAATGCTGAAAATAAGGAACAACTCCACATTATTAATTTTTTTTTTTTTTTTTTCTCTGAGGTTCCTGCAGAGCAACCAGGACACAGCAGTCATGCAGAATAACATTCACAAGTCCCTGCTAAACTATAGGCATTTAAAAGTCATGTATTTGACTAAGACTCATTGCACTTTCAGTGCAAGTCAGGAAAATCAGCTTCTATACAGCAATCCAGCCAACTGTAGAAGACTGCATATTTCTTGAGCGAGTGTGAGCTTCTCTTGAGTGATTTAAAAGAGAGAGATGGCGATGCGTGCAGCAGTAATGGGAGTCAGCATCATTTATCAACTGCCTGCTTCTGACAGCCGCTTAATCGCATGCAGGGTCTATTAGTCCCAGCTTTACCCGCTCAGGACTGGTCCTGAGCACCTGGAGAGCAATATAGCTTGCCATGATGATAAAAGAGCAGCCTTATTTTAGTGGTGATGGGTGGCTGGTGCATGTTACTTGGCTTGACTATTTATTATCGTGACTCTTTTTTGAACTACTTGTATGGGGGCTTTACATATTCCTTCCCCTCCTCCCCCCCAAACCCCCAATTATCTAGAGTTTTAAGTCTGCATACATCTAAACTGGGCACATGCCATCACTCTGCTCTAGAAGCCCTCTAGACATCCATAGCTCCATGAGGGACATTTGGCAACTGCACAATGAATGTTGCCGTGAAACTCTTTTGAGCACACTAAAAACTTCTACTACTCCTAAGATCGGTGCAAAATAACTAATTAGCAATGCCAGCTGTTGTTTTTTTTTTTTTTAATATACCCCAGTAAATGACCATAAAAGACCAGAGTTCAAGGTCTCTACTTCTTTAGGCTCATTTTCAGCTCTGCCACAGATGGTGCATGACCTGAGGCCAGTCATCACATACCTCCTGGCCTCAGTTTCTTCAGCTGCAGGATTTTGGCTAATTTTCCCTCCTCCGCTCTTCTTTTTCCTCTGGGCTGGGTCAGAAACACTCACTCCCAGGCTGTGGGGTTGTTCCCCACATCTGTCTATCCGCTGCTCCCTCCCTTCCATCCCCAATGCAACCTCTTGCTGTGTTGGCCAAATACGAAGCGGGATTAAAGTCCTCAACTAATAACCTTTTCCACAATAACTCAGATATACACTCTCATTTCAAGACAGGCGCAGCAGCAGGAACTATTCCACAGCAATTGCTCCGAAGCTTAAATGGAAAAAAATTCCCCTTATTTATTTTTCCTAGCATTTTTCCAGTTATTGGTTTGGTTGCCTTCAGAATCACAGCCCAGGAGAAATAACTATGGCTTTGTGATTGACTGATATAATTCCTTGGGTGTTTGCTGATCTGCAGAACACCGTGCAAATTGTCCACATTAGGGCAGAAGCTTTAGGGTAAAATCATTGCTGTCCATATGTATATGTTAAACTTACTCAATTAAGTTTCAGTTATTAATCTTCTATATGATTTGTATATGATTTCTATATTCTATATTCATCTTTCTGCACAATTCAGGAGGTACCCTTAAAACGCACCTCCAAAATATTCCTTCACTTCTGAGTACAACAATAAAGTCTCTGCCATCCTTTGATGGATGCAGGGTGCTTGCAGAGCACTTGAACATTAAGGAATTAGATCCAAACAACATGAGGTTTTCATTTAACAAAAATATGGTCAAGATGAAGACAATACGAAACACAGCCCACTCAAACAAAAAACCCTCAAACTGAAGGTTAATAAAAATCAGCTTAAATTTATACCTTGACTTAAAACTAAGTTATGTTTAGGGGCAAATTCCAATGTCCTATTCCTAGAAGGCCATCTTTACATCAAGAACCAAATCATTGACATCACCACTATCTACAAAAGTTTGGAGTGCAGTAAAGTCCATAGAGTCCTATTTTTGGCATCCTTACTCCCAAGAAAAATGTATAGATTTACTCCTCCTATCCCTGGATAGCTGAAGCCTGGTCTGCTGGAAGGTGGAACAATGCAAGTTCACTGGAGAGGAGAGCACCAAGCTCCCAAACTCGGCAAAAGGAATTACGCAAAAAAAAAAAAAAAAAAAAAAAAAAAAAAAATTCCGGTTTTT